ACACACACACACACACACACACACACACACACACACACATGTCTGAACTAAAACAAGGTTTATCTAGGGGCATGTTCGTTTGGTAGGATCGGGATCCCGATCCACTGGATCCACTGGATTCGCACCCTTTCGATTGGTCGAATCTGGATCCGGATCCTTCGGATTTGGATCCGATCAACCCACCTCGGGGAGCAGGGTTGCCCGGATCCATCGGATCCAAATGTGACCTTTGTGCGTATATCATTATATGGCGGGGTTGTAAAAACCATTTTTGTACACATTGTGATAAGCACACATGGATGGAGATAGAGTTTGTTGACTGTTTGTACGACGGAGGCGATGAGTACGACGTTCATCCTTTTGGGTGATTTGTGAGCACCATTGTCAACATGGCAACAGTCAAGGTCCAAAATAAAGTGTTCAGTTGAATCTGAAGGATCCGATGGATCTGAGATCTGGATCCTGATCCCGATCCTTACCAATCGAACATGCCCTAATACCATGTACAGGATTCTAGCCAGGTCAAAATAGAAGGGGGGGGGGGGCATGAGAAACAGTTACCCCGTATCCCATTTTTCCACTTTCCCAATATTGTTTTGCAACGCTAAATGCAACTTATGGGGCGAATCCCCGACTTCGGCGCAGACAAACGTGCCTTTATGAACCATCTAATAGTGACTTTCGACTGCATTTTCGTTAAATTGCATGAAAAACATGAACATCGGAAAATGAGTAGTGGGCGACACTTTTTCACAGGGGGTACTCGAACAGGGGGGGGGGGGGGGGGGCTGTGCCCCCTCCTTTGGCCAGAACCCTGATGTATATGTAGATCTAAACAGATAATATGCTGAGAGGCTTGAAGTATTCTGCAGTTTCAGTGCATTGCATGATTACACCAATCATAACGCACACCATGCACAGGTGGATGTTGAACTAACCTTCATGCACGCCAGCGCATGGTCGAAATGAAGGTCATGCGGTGTCATGATGTCCACAGCATCAAACTCTCCCCATTCCAGAGCCTTGGTCAGGTTATTAAATATCTGTGGAGCACCGTGAAGATGATGATGGTAGACATGTCATGCAATACAACAACATGCATAGCAGTCACCTGACTAGTAATGTAGACATGTAGACACTGGCAGTAATCAGACTCAGCGTTTACACATACTCCTGTGCCGGCAACAGACTGTCCCCCGTGAATCCCGCGGCAGAATATCAGAAATTCCGTGCAGAATTCTGCGGCTGAAAACAGTAAATTCTGCGCTAACTCTGCAAATCCTTCCAAATTCTGCGGCATTTCTGCATGGGAAATGAGCGTAAAAACAGATTGAATTTCCGCAACACCACCGAATTTTGTTGTCCCTATAAATTCTGAACCGAAATTATTCGAAATCCTGGTTCAAAAAATTGAAAGCTCCAAAATGTACCGTGCAAGTTGATTTTGAAAGTCACAAGCGTGGTTTGGCTCCAGAAAAAGCAGTTTTTCTCTCTTTTCTGCAATATTCCGCAGGATTTTCTGAATTCTGCGTACACTACTGGATTCTGCGGAAATTCTGCAATCCGCGGAATTCACGGGGGACAGCACAGAGGCACTGTCGCTAAGCGTGTGAATGATTGATACCGGTAGTGGTGGCGTCATGGTCGGGGAGTAGCAAGCAGATGAAAATGTCGACACATGAAGTATCTACATGTAGGTATTGCTCTCTTTTTCCTTGTTTTCTCTACTCTCTGTCTCTCTGTCTCTCTCTCTCTCTCTCTCTTTCTCTCTCTCTCTCTCTCTCTCTCTCTCTCTCTCTCTCTCTCTCTCTCTCTCTCTTTCTCTGTCTCTCTCTGTCTCTCTCTCTGTCTCTCTCTGTCTCTCTCTGTCTCTCTCTCTCTCTCTCTCTCTCTCTCTCTCTCTCTCTCTCTCTCTCTCTCTCTCTCTCTCTCTCTCTCTCTCTCTCTCTCAGTCTGTCTCTCTCTCTGTCTCTCTCTGTGTCTCTCTCTGTGTCTCTCTCTGTGTCTCTCTCTGTGTCTCTCTCTGTGTCTCTCTCTCTATCTCTTTCTCTGTCTCTCTCTGTCTCTCTCTGTCTCTCTCTGTCTCTCTCTCTGTCTCTCTCTCTGTCTCTCTCTCTGTCTCTCTCTCTGTCTCTCTCTCTGTCTCTCTCTCTCTCTCTCTCTCTCTCTCTCTCTCTCTCTCTCTCTCTCTCTCTCTCTCTCTCTCTCTCTCTCCACACTATACTTTTCGCTATATATTTTTTCAATCTTTTTTTTGTTTCTCTTCTTCTCCCGATTTTCTGATGCGTGAAGTAGGCGCGGATGCCGAGACCATTGGTCGGCGGAGCCTGCAGCACCCCATCACCACCGCTGCGTTGCATTTGCAGCCCCATTCAGTCAATGTCTTGTTAGTCTGCTGTTTTGTCATTTCCTGCTTCTTTCTTCTTTTACGAATTGGGTGCGTGGTTTCAAGTAAAAAATAAATATAAAAAAAGTGAAATATTGAGCTGGACCACGGGATGGTCCAGTACTGGACATCATCACTGGTAGCTTTGCCGTCCATGCAGACATCCACTGAGTGCCACCCTGGGTTTACCAGAATTTATCTTACTTGTACCGCGACACCTTAGCCATCGCATCCACCAGTGCACTTAGCCAAAATAGCGGACGGTAGTGGCTATGTAGGTGTCAACTTATTGAATGCAATGAGTGAGCCAGCGTGCCCGTATTCAGTGTGTGCTTTCCATGTAGAACATGTACTGCAAACACCGGCTCAATGAAATCTCAATGAAATCTCAATAAAATTTGATCCCGTGGATCCAGTTTGCGCCCTGCGCCACTTCACATCCCAGTGCTCGCAAGGCCGCACAGCTGCACAATGCCCGGCGTGGCATTCATTCACTTGATCGGATTTCATCACTATCAGCACTGTATTGTAGTATTACATGTTGTTCACTATTCGTAAAAATAAGTTTTAGAATACAGTACAATTGAAACAGAAAGGGCTGCACATTTGCACCGGCTAAATTTTCTATGAAACGGCAAACCTAAAATTCAAGTCCAGGTACTAGTATTGCTAAGCCGACCTTTGGACTTCCACCGACTTCTTTGGCGAATTGTGCAGAGTTCTCTTCCTTTGTATCAATGAGTGCTTCCACAACGGCACGACCACTGCGTCTGTAGCCCTCCAAATGCTGGCGTGCAATAAGGCCGCACCCGGCCATAGCAACTCTTAGCTTCGCCATAGTTACACCGTGACCCTATTATGACTAACAAGGGAATGGTTGATCACAACGCTGAACTCTAGCACAAGCTCCCCAAACTAACTTAGTAACTACTACTAGTAGTAGTACTTGTCATCATGGTCATGTTTGTCTATGAAGTAGGGTCCACTACCCTGACTACTCCCGGACACGAGCGGATGCTCAGCCTGACATGTTCACCATGCATGGTGTTCAAAGCGACTGTCATAAAATTTGTGATGTCGCTTTGAACCATGATCTGCTCTCACTCTGCTGTTGTGATTATGGTGTTGCCGTGTAAGTAATAATAATTCTATGAAAAGCGATCCTGTCAGCTTTTCTATTCTTGTTATATTATGTACCGTGATGGCAATACTGCCAGTGACGGCAGTAGTGATGCACCGGCACTCACCGGTAGTCTTGGTATGCAATTACATACACTGTGACTTCATGTTATCCATTGTTTTGAGGGAAAGGTGCACTGGTGCAGATGGGAAAAGTCTGAAGAAGAAAATGACTGTCACCGCCAGAACTCGAACCAGGGAGACAAGTACAGCTACAACTTACAAGTCATGATCAATGATCTCATGCACCCATGGACGGCAAGATCAATGCACATGTACACTGAACTACAATCAACGGTTGGAGTTATCCAATGTGAAAGTGAGCTACTGTACAATTTCTAAGATTTCAGCTGGTATTCCAAAAGGAAAGGTAAATAAGTTCATTTCAATCTATGGGGAAAGGGCTTGAAATATTGTATCCAGAAAGGTCCAAAATAATAATAGTTCTATACCGCACAACTTGAATAGAATTGGATAATTACTAGTATACTGCGAGAAAGTAATAGTAAATATGCAGAGTTTCACACGAATAATAAGTCTAAACGGTTGAAATTTTGCTCAAAGAAATACGAGCTGTGAATGAAATACTCCGACACGTGGCCGCAGACCAGTGACTTGCATGTCACCTGTTCTAAATACAAAGTAAGCTAACCGCTATGGATTAGTAGTGATAAGACTTATACAGTAGCTGCTGCTGCTGCTGCCTCGGTGATGATAACTAAACCACCCCGCAGTGAACAGCCTTAGCTGTCCCAGACTTTCTCCCACTGCTTGCTCTGTAAAGAGCGGTAAATTGCCCAGACAATGCGAGGCTCACCGCTGCAGTACATCGCATCGGCGTCGAGTGGCTTGCTATCTAGCGCCGCACCGACAAACGCTTCAATCTCAGGCGGAAAGGATTCCATGTAGCCGAGAGCTGGGCCCTGGCTCTCACCATTCACATGCTCACGGTCGTATACGGTCACACCTGCTTTGAAACCTCCACCAATAGTTATCTCACCCTGGATAAGAACAGCAGAAGTTTGATCAGCCAAAAATAGGTCATTTCAATACCGTACTGCAATTGCATGCATATTCTAGTTTGTGTGGGTCTGTGACAGTTCAGAACCCTATTGCAGCAACTTCACCAGTCCTCGACAGTCGACACTACTTCTTACATTCCCAGCTTGTGTGGGATCTAATAGCCACAGCTTTCAACCCACGCAACAGATGACACAAAACATGTGTCGTACACGTGATAATTGCAAAGCATGTCATGCTGAGCACACCAGCTCTCACTAAGGTTGTACTGTGTTAGTCAGTCTTCTACTCGTCATCTAGTAAGCTAGTATACTAGAAAAAATCGAGAAGACCATGGCGGAAACTGCCCATTCCTTAGCAGCTTTGAAGCTACTGGAAGGGAGTCGTCTCAATATACTGCATGCTAGTGCAGTACCTTTGATCCGTATACTTGAAAGAACGGTGTGTCCGACAGGGCGTGGCTTGCAACAAGCCCATGGAAGCATGCGGTCTTGCCATTCTTGAATCTCAGCAGGGCCTGTGCCTGCGTTTCGAATCCGGCTGGCATGCCCTCAAATGCGCCTTCACTGATAGTGCCGACCACTTCATCCACTTCACCGAGCCTTACACCAGCATGGCATCGGAAAACAAAACAAAAAATGGATAGGGCATGTGGAGACAAGAACTATATTACAGCAATAGAACTAGCAAGGCGGACATTGAATGTACAAGCCTTGCAATAACATTATATGAGTCTACATAATTCCGGCTCACTATTATTCTGTTATTGCTTCGCTCAATGTCAGCCTTGCTAATTCTATTTTTCAGAGTAATCAAGTGAAGAGAAAAACATATTATTATTATTGACACATCAATTAAAGAGACTTCGAAGTGCTCCATTGACCAGTACACCAAGCAGAGAATAGTTTGTTCCACAGAAAACCCAAATCAACCATAACAGCCATATGTAATATATACAGTGGAACCCACATGGTACGCACTCTGAAAAGACTCTCTGATAAGACATACTCTTGCTTATTAAGGACAGTGTGTGGAGCACGGCTGTATTGATCCATACTGAAGTATGTTGGGGTAAGAAGGAGTATCTTGGATACTAAGTACACTTTGCTGCTGCCCATGGGGGTATGCCCTATAAGAGAGTTCTACTGTATCAGTTTTTTGTTTGTTTGCACGTCCGCGTTACAACCGGCTATACACGATTGTATTGAGAAACACAACCAGCTTAGGAAGTTTCTCTCGTGCCAGGCCACCACCATGCCTGTGATACCAGGGTGGCAGATGCAGCGCCTAACGGCAAAGGTGGGTGATAACTTTCAGAATCATTAACACAGTAGTGTATTAGTACAGTAGTGTATTAGTACAGTAGTGTATTAGTACAGTAGTGTATTAGTATAGTAGTGTATTAGTATAGTAGTGTATGGCCGTGTCCATCGGCCCTTACCACATGCGTAGTGGTCTTATCCAGTGACAACTACCACTCATTAGGATTCCACCGCCGACTCGAGATGGATTGAACTCCCAGTGCTCGCTGCTGTCCACGCGCTTCTGGAATGGAGAGCTTCGAAATGAAAAACACATCCATACACACGCACACACACGCGCACACGCACACACACACTACTACTACTACTATTGACTACTATTGACAGCTGCCAGAAATTGGCCACGCCGCTCCCAAATGGGACACACACACACACACACACACACACACACACACACACACACACACACACACACACACACACACTGACACACATACACTGACATTGAATGAAATGCTCAACACTTCTCACATCCTGGTCTTTTCCCGAATATTGTTCTGGACGAGACAATATCGCGCACCGTCGGAAGAACATAACCTGCCTGGGTATTTCGCAGTGTGTCACGGCGTGTGTCAATAACCTGTACGAAACGTAGTTCTCTCTACATGAAGACCGCGACAGCCATTATCATTGAATTACTAGTTGCATGCACAGACATACCCGTATGGATGCGGAGCAAAACTGTCTTTAAAAGATCACCTGATGCTGGTCTCCCAGTAGGACGTCTTAGCAAAGTACACATCGCCGATGCGTCCGCTGTCAATGATTTCCTTCACTTTGACAACCTGCCATACCAACAACAACAGTCAATAGTGCAAGGAACAAAGACTGTTGTCCAGGCACCGAGTTTCGTATTCATGGTTTTATTTCTGTTAGTGTTGCGTGCTACTTTCTACGTGAAGTGTGTGGGCTACAGTGAGGGCTTTCTCCCACCTGCCTGTGTGGATTCACAGGAAGCGTGAGTTATGAAGTCTGAAGAAAATGTCGAACGGTCTCTGCTGGGATGACAGCTACACCATAGCTCAGTGGTTAGAGCATCGCTGGCCTAAAGCGAAGGTCTCTCGTTCAAATCCTGGTGGTGACAGACAACGTTTTCTTCAGACTTTTCCCGATTGCATCTTTACCCCAAACCAATGAATATTGTACTTATCGTGTTAATTTTTCCTGTAAAGATGGCTCGCTTCTCTATAAAGAATAAAATAATAATAATTCTGGCCACAGAGTTGTAGCCAAAACGACATAGCGGGGTGCTGTAACGCCTTTCAAAATCTGCCCGACCCTCTCCATCCAAAGCTTTAATTAAAAGTGTCACTGTACAATGCCTGGTTAGAATTACCAATACAGGTACCCCTCTTATGGGTGACTCATGCAGCTATAACGAGACACCTGGCGAAATGGTGGTAAATACACGCCTGTCCCCAGAAGCTCTCTACATGTGTAAGCCATGTGTATTTACTATTTAGCGCCATTTCGCCAGGTGTCTCTTTACCGCCATATGAGTCAACCATAAGTACAGCTGCAGTGGAGTCTTCAATTTCAATACCTCTAGTTTCCCTGTATATGACGTATTGCACACATACCGGCACTAAAGGGCAACCCATTGTACTTGTTCCGACCTTGTGTACAATGGCAATCGGCCTGCACTATTACTTCATTAGGGTTGTGGTACTTGTGTACTGGTAGTCGGGTGCGTGTGCTAAAAGTGGACATCACGGGCGATCGGGTGCCTCAAATCGGAGCCGGAATCTAACCTGAAATTATCCGAGTCAGTTTACATAATATCGTGATACATTGCCGCAGTGTCTATCTCTATTTCACCGAGACGAACTAACCTCTGGCCAGTACTGTGCATTCTCTCCGATCATAAACACTTTCTTGTTCTGTGTTACATGATCCTGTCCAGCTGTCAGCAGCTTCTCACAGTCTCGGCGATTAATTGCCATAGGCTTCTCCAGCAGAATATGCTTGTTGGCCTAGAGATCAGCATAGATAACAGTCATACAAGTACATGTAGGTCTTAATCACAGATGATATGTGGGGAGGCTGGATAATTGTGCAGCTTGTTGTACATGTACACCAAATAATCAGTCCAGGTGGATGTTGAACTAACCTTCATGCACGCCAGCGCATGGTCGAAATGAAGGTCATGCGGTGTCATGATGTCCACGGCATCAAACTCTCCCCATTCCAGAGCCTTGTTCAGGTCATCAAATATCTGTGGAGCACAGGGCCAGCGCCGGGACATGGGTAGACATGGTAGACATGGCTATACATTAGTATGTATGTACATTGTAGTTGTCATGTGACTACTGTAGGCACAGTGTAGACATCTAGTAATCAGGATTGCAGACACGCTCTATTCCTCTCTCTCCTGTCGTGGCCCGGGGTACTGTCGCCGCAAGTAAGCGTGTGAATGATTGATATTCACGGCAGCCTGCTGGCCCAGGCAGCAAACAGGTGAAAACGTGGATACATGAGGAGTGGAATATTGAATTTGTCCTCTCGGGATGGTCCAGTACTGGACATCATCACTGGCGGATTTGCGTTCCGACATGCACTGGGTGCCACCCTTGGTTTACCTTCCTTGTGCCCAACGCGTTATCCATCGCATCCACCATTGCCCACCGGCCGGCACCATTGCACTTAGCCAAATTATCGGATGGTAGCGGCTATGTGGGTGTCAAGTATTGAATGCAATGAGTGAGCCAGCATACCCGTGTTTGTGTGCTTTCCATGTAGAACATGACTTGTACTGGAAACGGAGTTTAATTTAACTGGTAACTACTTAGTTGTTGACTGCTTGTCCCATTTTAAAACACTCCTTGTCCCATTTTAAAACACTCTGCAGTCTGCAGATACTGATCAAAAAGAAAGGTGGGCACAGAAATATTCTACACTGAAACTGCAGACCCTGTGACTGAGCCAATAGTGCCGACCTTTGGACTTCCACCGACTTCTTTGGCGAATGATGCAGAGTTCTCTTCCTTTGTATCAATGAGCGCTTCCACAACGGCACGACCACTGCGTTTATAGCCCTCCAAATGCTGTCGTGCAATAACGCCGCACCCGGCCATAGCAACTCTTAGCTTCGACATAGTCACTTCACTATAAACGACTAAAGGCCAGTACTAGCACGGTTTTATCGCAACACCAGACGAAATTTCAGATCAGTGTCACCACTCAAGTAATAATTCGTTGATATTCCACTAGCAGCACTTCCACCCAAAATGAATCAGAGAACCGTACCTCCCCAGTCGAGTCCCCATCCCTGCCTATAGCGGATTTGTAGCCTCGGAACTGGCTTCATAATATTTTTATTTTCACTCTCACTCGGCCACGGCCACCCACACTCCACATGCCATGGCTCAGCTCATTGCTATGTTAGTATAGTATGTAGTGCAAGTGACGCCTCGCCGAACCGTGTCTGTCAAAACTCATAAGTCATGTCCTAAGTCGTTTTCTGTCACATAACTGGTTGTTTCGTATACAGTAATCTACCGGTACCGTACTCTCCTTGCTGCATACATGGAGACACTGACCCTTGCGCCCGCTTGCATGGGTGTGATATGAGAATGTTCAGAGTAAAACATTTCTATGAGTAAACTAGCAAAACGGGCACAATCACCGTGTGAATCAGGCACAATCAAATCAGGCCATGTTCACCATGTTTACAGCTAGGCCATAGGTGGACCAAGCGACAGAAGAAATAGACCTGCTCAAAGATTGGAACTCACTAGTCATCAGGTCATACACACGCACAGCCAGTCTGAGCCAGATCAGTGTCCGCGTGCACTGAACTATAGGTTATGCGAATGACTTCATGGCGGATTTTCTAATGGACGCTAAGTATAATGCGAGTCAGCGGATTTTTTAATGAGCGCTAAGTATGAAGAGTGAGTCGCTAGTGCAAGTGCAGCGCTGTACCGCGAGTCCGCGACTTCGCCAAAGCATCTCAACTGATGCTGTACATGTACGTGTAATCGCATAACCTCTCCATACGTAGGGGTGTAACATAACCTCCATACATATGTCACTCAGAGGGGTCCAACTTGCCAGCGAGCCGCAATCAGTTCCGAAGAAGCACTTGTTCAATCTCGTGGCAATTCCACTTTATTCAGAAAATTGAAAGACATAATTATTTCATCCAAGAAAGATTCAAAATAGCATTATGTACCTCAAAACCTGAGTTGTATGTACACTGTAAGAAAGTAGAAGGACATAAGCAAGTCTTCAAGCAAGTCTTCAAGCAAGTAATACGTCTAAAGGTTAGTTGCAATGAGTAATCTTTGATGAAGTTACTGTCAATAAGTTAGTGCCGCAGATTCGGGAATACACTGCAAAGAAGACAATCATTTGTGTAGCCAGCTCAGTAAACGAAGTACAGCATAATATTATTATGATATAGGTATCACAGAATCTGAGCACAATGCTGCGTGCTATAGATCTGGACATCGCCCTTGCTGAAAGCAATAATTATGATCTGAGTCAAATATCTGCAGACAGGTGACCTAGATGCTGCCTGTGCCAAATACTTCGTACAAAACAAGCTAAGCCACATGGATTAACAGTGATGTGACTTGCACAGCAGGAGCAGCAGCAGCTGCTGCCTGCACTATAATTTATAAAGACTACTAGTAACTTGTTTTCGAGTGAGCATTCCTAGCTGTCCCAAACTTTCTCCCACTGCTTGCTCTCCAAGGAGCGGTAAATAGCCCAGGAAATGCGAGGCTCACCGCTGCAATACATAGCGTCGGCATCCAGTGGCTTGCCATCTAGTGCCGCACTGACGAACGCTCCGATCTCCGGTGGAAAGGATTCCGAGTAGCCGAGCGCAGGGCCCTGACTCTCACCATTCACATGCTCACGGTCATATACGGTCACACCTGCTTTGAAACCTCCACCAATAGTTATCTCACCCTGGATAAGAAAAGCAGAAGTGTAGGAAGACCAAAAAAAGGTCATTTCAATACCGTACTGCAATTGCATGCATATTCTAGTTTGTGTGGGTCTGCGACAATTTAGAACCCTATTGCAGCAACTTCACCAGTCCTCGACACCACTTCTTACATTCTTATCTTGTTTGGGATCTTATACCTAAAACTCCATGTGCCTATCAAGCCATACAACACATGACACTAGACGGCAGTGTGACGACGGTAGTGTGCTGACAGGAGCACTCTACTGGACAGGCTCAGGAACCTCTCTCGTTGTGCTGACAGGAGTATAATTTATATGAGCTACTGATTTTACTCTTGGTGAGGCTAACTACGCCATGCCATGCTGAGTATACTAAGGGGCCGTTTACATGAGGAAAATAAGCCCGGGCTTATTCGCCTCGGGCTTATTTTTCAACCGTTTACATGACGGTTGTACGGGGCTGAGTTCAGGTGAGTGACTGCGAGTTCTGCGCGCATTATATTTTTCAAATCGCACATGAACGCAGTGGTAAATGTTCGTGTTTGATGAAATTTGGATCAAGAAATGCCGGCTCAGGTTTCTACTGCCTTTCCAATTGTCACTTATTTTTCGAGAAGGTGAAGGATGGGCTAGGACCTTCCACTGGACAAAAACTAGAAGAAAACATACCAAGAAATAAATAAAAGAGACGCACTGTCCACGGCCACATTCTCTCAGGTTCACGAGGCAAAATCGAAAAATACGGAAAAACTCGCTTATAAGCCCTTCTTGACCGTTTACATGACAAAATAAGCCCTGGGGGTTGGATAAGCTCGGGGGTCAAGGGTAGGGCTAGTTCAGCTCGGGGCGAGCTGAATAAGCCCGCCTGACCATGTAAACGCGCGCTCTAAAATGACTGGGTGACTGATCTAGGCGGGCTTATCGTAAGCCTAGGGTTGAATAAGCCCGGGCTTATTTTTCTCATGTAAACGGCCCCTAACTCTGTCGAGAACGGTAGGGGAAGACAGACTCATCAGACTCATTCTCATACCACAGTTTCCTTTCTAAAAACTTCACCTTCAACCATAATCCAAACTTGCCAACCACCACCGTATGTGTGTGCGTGCGTGCGTGCATCATGCAAGCGCGGATCATGCGGAATGCAATGATGCAACTACAAGAAAACAAATCTCGGCAGCTAGCAACGAGTGCATTCAGAGAAGAAGCAAACAAGTTCAGATTTAAGTAGTTTGTGATGAGCAGCAGAGACAAACATGCAGGAGAGTATAATTATATGATGAGATGGAGGCGACATTGGGAATACTCGGATTCACAATGTACGCGTGCCATCAGCTGGGTAATCAGAGTCGTCGTTGGACATCGTAAGTAGTCTTCATGATGTGGTGACATTCATGACATTCCCGACAACGAAAGTTATCTTACCCACTCTGCGATACGCTCACGGGCCTTCTCTGCTGCTTTGCGATTTGCCCGCCTAGGCTGGAACATGGTTGGAGCAGCTTCGTCCGCCATTGCCTGTTCCATAGCCGTCGCCGGTGCCGTGCGGTGTTCCATATCACCAGCCTCCACTGCTCCGACGTCATCCACAACGTGCAGCTCGAGCGGATAGAGCTTGCTGATCGGTCTCGACAACACTGCCTTCGATTTAGCCGTCTTCAGCTTGACAGCTCTGACTTGGCCATCGACTCCAGGTAAGATTTCTACCACTCTGCCGAGTCTCCAACTTCCACGTGGCTGGCCGGTCTCTTGGATTACGACCACTTCTCCGACTGTTGGTGTCCGAGAGATGCTACTCCGTGACTGTCGGTGTTGACTCATTGATGCTTCGCGCAGAGCAGGGAGGTACTCATCTTCCCACACCTTCCATGCTACATCCAGTTGTATCTGTTGCCGTTTCCACATCCTCGTGACCTTGGCTGCTGGTGTCTCCGGACCGTCCTCCTCGTCGCTGTCCGTCTGAAAACCGGTTGCCGTTCTTCCTCCACAGAGGAAATGTGACGGTGTCAGGGGTGAGAATGAGGACACATCGTCGTCGTCAACATATGTGAGCGGCCTCGTATTGATCATGCCTTCCACTTCGGCTGTCAGGGTTGCGAGCTGGTCTAGAGTCAGGAGGCACCTTCCAAGACTCTTCCTCAAGGCTCTCTTGACAATGCTCACCAGCCTCTCGTACACACCGCCCTTCCATGGCGCAAACTCTGTTGTGAAGCTCCATTCGATATTCTCCGTTGAGAGATACGATAGCAGGTCTGGGTTGGCAAGAATCAGCTTCAGATGATCGTCCAGGACAGAGCGTACCAACTTGAACTGGGGTGCGTTGTCACACACAATAGACTTTGGCTTGCCTCGTCTCGCCGCGAACCGTCTCATGCTGTTCAAGAAGGCTGCTGCAGATAGGCCAGAGACTATGTCCAGGTGTACAGCTCGTGTGGTTAGGCAGGTTACTAGGTTGATCCATACCTTGCCTTTCTCCGTGCCGGTGCGGATCAATAGCGGTCCGAGGTAGTCAAGACCAACGTACGTGAATGGAAGTGCTCTGGTAATCCGTTCCTTGGGCCATGGGGGCATGGACGGCAACTTGAACGGACGCCCTTCGTGTCTTCGGCAAACCGAGCACTGATCCAGGATACGGCGAACGATAGCACGGCCACGTATGATCCAGAACTCTTGCCTTGTCTGGGCCAGGGTGTGTCGAACACCTGCATGCAGAAGCCGTCCATGGACTTCGCTGATGACATGCTTCGTGAACGCGTGATACGTTGGTAGCAGCTTCGGTAGTTTCTGGTCAGTTGGTAGTTCAGCGTTGCTCAGTCTTCCGGCGCATCGCAGTATGCTGTCGTCGTCGATCACAACACCAAGGTTAGCAACTGAACTGTGCTTGGCATTGGTCTTGATAGCTTTGAAGATGTCAGGGAAGGCCTCGCGTTGTACCATTCGAGTCCACCAATCTCGCGCAGCCTGTATGTCTTGTGACACGATGTCGTAGCTGTTGCTGATCTGAGAGAGACGTGGTGAGTTGGGACGCAGTTTCTTCAGGAACTTCATGCACAGAGCAGTGATTCTCAGGACCTTCCTCAAACTGCTTGCTCTCGTAAGCACGCTGCCGAGACCAGATGGAATGGTGTGTGGACTAGGTTGGTCAGTAGCACGATCGCTGCCACCAGTCACCAGGCTTGCGGTATGAAGCGTTGGTGCTTGCTCCTCCTTGCTGGCTAGGTCGGATTCGTCAGCTGAGAGTGTGAGGTCCTCGTCTGGCCAGTGATCTGATGTGGTACGTAACCAGTCCGGACCGTGCCACCATGACTCCTGAAGATCGGCCACCAAACCGCCTCGGCTAGCGACATCAGCAGGGTTGCACTCTCCAGGAACATGGCGGAAGGACAAGAACTCGCCGCAAGTACGAATCTCTGACACACGGTTGGCCACGAATACGGACAGTGGCTTGGATGATTTGATCCAATGCAGAACACAACGCGCGTCCGTCCATAGGGTGATGCTGGTAAGTGGGAGATCGAGTTCATCTTTGCAGAATCGGGCTGCCCGTGAACCAATCGTCACGCCAAGTAGTTCCAGCCGTGGCAGGGTGAGACCGTTAGGCTTGCCGTCCTTGGACTTCAGCGGTGCAAGACGTGTCTTGCCGAAGAGGAGCTCACAGGTTGTCATCATGGCTATGGTTGTGCGGAGGTAGACCACAGTTGCAAAGCCCAGTTGTGACGCATCGGTGAAGACGTGTAGCTGGTAGGTAGCATCGGTTCCATTAGCAATTGGGTTGATTTGCCTGGGGAACGATAACGAGCTGACCTCGCTCGAGGCTGCATGGAGGGTCAGCCAGGTGTCCAGTAGGTGTCCAGTCAAGACAGTGTCCCAGTCCATACCAGCTTGCCACAGAGAGCGTAAGAAGACCTTGATACGAAATGTGACCGGAGCAACCAGTCCCAATGGATCGTACAATGATGCAGCATACTTCAGGACAGCGCGCTTAGTCCAAACCGGGTCGGTGCTGGGTTGGGTTCGAGGACAAGCGAGCTGTAGACTGTCATCCTTGGTGTGCCACGTGATTCCAAGAACGTTGACACTGTCGCCCTGTGCCCTTTCCTTGGCATCCATAGCTGTCGTAGCGTGGCTGTTGTTAGATGCCCACTCACGTAGCCGCATGGACGAGCGAGAGAATACGGATGTAGTTCGGTTGCACATATCGTACCCTTCTTCCGGGGTGTCGACACCGATGAATACGTTATCCACGTAGATATTGCGGGACACCAAGCGACCGACATCCGCATCTTCATCATTTGCTAGATGGTGTTGGATTGTTGCCGCTAGCAGAAATGGACTGCTCACGATGCCGAACGGTACTCTCCGAAACCGATAGACCGCGATGTTGTCCGGAGTTGCTGTGGGATTAGTTGGATCGCGATACCAAAGGAAGCGTGTCACGTCCCGGTCTGGCGGCCAGATGTCAAGTTGCAAGAATGCCTTCTCGATATCGGCTACCAGCAGAATGGGTGTGATGCGGAGTCGCATAAGAACTCCGGCAAGGTTGGGGAGCAACACGGGTCCACGTAGCAGACAGTTGTTCAAGCTCTTGTTGTGACGCCGTGCCTTGGCCGAGGCATCATAAACGACACGCAACTTGGTCGTCGTCTTCGTTGGAGTTAGAACTGGCTGGTGGGGTAGATAATGGAGTTGCGGACCAGTGACAGAATCCGGTGTCATCTGCTCAATGATGCCCATGTCGGCTTGCTGCTGGATCACCTTGTCATACTGCTCAAGTAGTGACGAGTCGGTGCTTAGCCGCCGCGATAGAGTCCGGAACCGGCCCAACGTCAATCCGTAGTTGTCCGGGAGAAACTGCTGCTGGCCGTTCCATGGCCAGCGAACGATGTAGCGATTATCGGTGCACTCCACTGTTGAGTGGAAATGTTGTAAGGCTACGTCATCGTCTTTCACGGGAGACGGGTGCTCTATCCCAAGCGTTTCGAGGCTCCATAAATCCGGAATGGAGTGCTTAAGAGGCAGAACCTCCTCGTGTGAAACGTCGGCTGCGGCTGCGATCAGAGTGGTTGCCGGTAGGGCAGTGGTGGGAGAGGTGTCCGTCTTGCCGGTGACCACGTAGCCGAGGGAGGTTGGCAGAAGGTTGAGGCCTGATGGTAGAGGTTGCACATGGCCCTGCACGAAGTCCCACAGATAATCAGACCCAATGAGTATGTCGATCTTTAGCCGTTCATCTTCGGCGTTAATCGCATCAGCTAACTGGTTGTCGTGTTGCAGTTGCTGCAAGGTCGTGATGTCGGGGTGTGCAACCGCAGGACGGAGAACCGGGTTTGTGATGTGCGGTAAGACGCTGCCTTCGATGGCCTTCGTTGTACCATCCTTGAGATGAATGAACAGGTCGGAGATCGGTACCTGTGCTGTGTGGTGTTTGGTGGCACCAAAGGTTGACACGGACAGCCATTCATGGCGAGTATGGCGCAGGGAGAGCTGCCTTGCCAAAGCCTCCGTGAAGTATGTGCGATGGCTGCCTGAATCAAGAAGAACGCGAGCGGTGGTGATTGTACCATTGTTGCCTTGCACATTCGTTGTGGCGGTTTGGAGTGTGACAGTTGATCCTGTTGCTTGCAGGAGACACGATGACTGGTCCGAAGCAACTGTCTGGTCCGAAGCAACTGCCTGACCTGGAACCTGAGTGGGTGTGCACGTAGCGGTTGTAGTGTCAGAAGTTGCCACCGCTGCCGTGGAAGATGAACCGTCAGCTCGTCGGGTGGAATGCGAACCTACACCAGATGGCTGGCGACTCTGCGAGCAGATGGTATGGTGATGGTGACTTGGGCGCTTGCACATCCGGCAGGTCTGTGTTTGCCGTCGGTAACATTCCTGGCTGCGGTGACCGGAACCCAAGCAAATAAAGCAACGACGTAGCTCCATTAATCGTTGTTTCCTGGCAGCAGAAGATGTGTAGCGTGAGCAATCGTTGTCCATATGTTGGCCATCGCAGAATATGCAACCACGACGGGAACGTTGTGGTCGTCCTTGGGTATCAGGGTGAGCTGCCAGTGCATCCGCTGTGCTAAAGAGTTGCTTTGGCTGCACTCCAACAGTGTCAGGTTTGTTCGGAGGGCCTTGGCCAGTCCGCTGGCGGAGTTGCTCTTGTAGAGTTGTGTACTTGGCCATATACTCTCGTAGAGTGGTTAGTTTCCAGGGCTGGCCGGCGTTGCTGATACCACGCCACTCCTCAAACTTGGTGGCAACCTCGAGTGGAACCTTGCCCCACAGCTTTTGGCACAGGAGACGTTGATCTGCCAACTTCTCTCCCTGTGTTTCCAGCTGTCGAAGGAGACACTCCACAGTTTCGAAACTTCGATGGATCTCCATGGGCCTGTTGGGTGGTGCCGGTAGTGCTTCCAAACGGCTGTACAGGGATGCAATGATGATCTCCGCTGAACCATACTTCGTCTTCAACAGATCCTTGACGGTGGTATAGTTTGCACTTGTCAATGAGATGCCCGCTATGGCCTTCGCCGCATCGCCGGAAAGGCAAGATTTCAGGTATGAGAACTTGCTGACATCCGCAATGGGCTGGTTGTCGATGGAAGACTGGAATCGCTCCCAAAACTCTGGCCACTCAATCACCTTGCCAGAAAAGGACGGTAGAGTCAGCTTTGGCAGCTGGACGTTGAGGCGTGATGGCTGTGGGGCAGTACTGAGGCCAGCTGCCGCGGTTGCAGCGTGCGCTGCCGCTAATGCCATGGCCTGTATCATGTCCGGGGAATTGGTTGGTGTCGGGACAGTTGGCTGGGCCTGTGTTGTATCCGTATGCTGAGCCTGAGCCACAGGGTTCTGAGTAGTAGCACTGATGTCCGTGCCTGTGGACATTGTGCTACGCCTTGCCTCCACACCCGTGCTAGGGCTGTCCAGTCTGCCTGCAGCAGATTCCGTGTCGCCCGTGCCTGTTGCCGGCAATTCCTTTGATTCCAGCAGTTCGCCCGTGGGCCTGTCCGTCCCATCACTGTCCACGACCACTACCTCCTGTGTTGTATCGTGCCGGGTGGCCTTCTGGGGTGTTGCTGCCTCTGCAGCAAGCTCCGTCACCACTGGTGAATGTGTCCCTACCCCTCTATAGTCGAGTAGTGCACGTGCGTCCGACACACTTGTGCATTCGTGGTCAAAGCCATCATCCCAGGCTTCCAAATCAATTAGTGCGTCTTCCACACGCTCGTCTGCCTCGCAGTTCTCCAGCAGGGTACCAATCTGTTCGGACAGGTCGTTCACTGTGTCAATCAAGGGTAGGATTTTCTCAACATCACTCTGAAGTGACAACAGACTAACGAATTTCTCCTCCGTTTTACGGAGTTCATGTTCGATCCTCCTCCTTACTCGCGTCACCCTTCCCTTGGCCCTGCCTCGCTTCTTGACTAGGTCGTTGTAAACCACTTGGTCCAGGACGTGAGATGTGCTTTGCCTCTCAGTCGTCTGATCCAAGGACTCCTCTCCATCGTTCGTTGTTGTCTGTTCAACCTCTCCGTCCATCGTAAAAAAACGAAAGTTGTTGGACGCGTTGGTTCCAAATCCTGGTCTCTACAGCACCATGTCGAGAACGGTAGGGGAAGACAGACTCATCAGACTCATTCTCATACCACAGTTTCCTTTCTAAAAACTTCACCTTCAACCATAATCCAAACTTGCCAACCACCACCGTATGTGTGTGCGTGCGTGCGTGCATCATGCAAGCGCGGATCATGCGGAATGCAATGATGCAACTACAAGAAAACAAATCTCGGCAGCTAGCAACGAGTGCATTCAGAGAAGAAGCAAACAAGTTCAGATTTAAGTAGTTTGTGATGAGCAGCAGAGACAAACATGCAGGAGAGTATAATTATATGATGAGATGGAGGCGACATTGGGAATACTCGGATTCACAATGTACGCGTGCCATCAGCTGGGTAATCAGAGTCGTCGTTGGACATCGTAAGTAGTCTTCATGATGTGGTGACATTCATGACAAACTCTCACTAAGGCCGTACTACACTGCACTAGCCAATCATTCCTCTCATGACTCGTAGTAGTATGCTAGTACAGTATACTGATTAACTACCCACAGCGGCCGCAGACTCCCTTTCAGTAGCTTTTAAGATGCGGCGGGCTCAATCGACTGCATGCTACAACCTCCCGGCCTACCTTTGATCCATATACTTGGAAGAATGGCGTGTCCGACAAGGCATGGCTTGCATAAAGCCCTTGGAAGCAAGCGGTCTTGCCATTCTTGAATCTCAGCAGGGCCTGTGCCTGCGTTTCATATCCGGCTGGCATGCCCTCAAATGCGCTTTCACTGACAGTGCCCACCACTTCATCCACTTCACCCAGCCTTACACGACCAGCATGGCATTACACACAAAGCAGCAAACAAGCAAAAAAACACACACACATTGAGACAAATATCTCAATAAGAAACACCATTGACCTGTACTCAAGCAGAGAGTGAAAATTGGTAAGTAAGAACCTAATTGAATACATTTTGTACACGGTTGGTACATGGTGGCGATTGTAATTATCAACTGCTTCAAATTCTGAGGAATCAGAAGAAAATGTTGAACACTCTCTGCTGGCCCTTGGGATGACAGCTACATCATAGCTCAGTGGTTGCATTGCTGGTCTCAAGCCAAGGTCCCTGGTTGGAGTCTTCGTGGTGACAGTCAATTTCTCAGGCTTCAGACTGTCCCGTTTGCATCTTTCCCTCAAACCAGTGAACATTTCAAATTAATAATAATTAGCTGAGCTGCCCTTACCACATCCGTAGTGGTCTCAGCCAGTGACAACTGCCGCCCATAAGGATTCCACCACCAACCCGAGCTGGATTGAACTCCCAGCGTTTGCTGTCCACACGCATCTCTAACGGGCAGCTTGGAAATGAATGCACATTCACAATCATTGCACATACACACAGACGCGCATACACACAGACGCGCATGCACGTGTAAACACATACATGTACACAAATACACAGACACACACACACACACACACACACACACACACACCTCAGACCTCAGATCTGCCCATCGCGGAAGCGATGATAGCGAACAGCTATGGTAGACATAGCAACTTGTGCTGGGATTACACCACACACACACACACACACACACACACACACACACACACACACACACACACACACACACACACACACACACACACACACACACACACACACACACACACACACACACACACACACACCTGCACACCCACACACACCCACACCCACACACATACACCTGCACACCCACGCACACACCCACCCACCTACACACACACACACACACACACACACACACACACACACACACACACACACACACACACACACACACACACACACACACACACACACACACACACACACACACACACACACACACACACACACACACACACACACCATGATTGGGAAAGTGTGACAGGAATGGTCTTTGAGACTGCTTCTCCCGTTCCCATTTGTAATGTTACTGCTAGTCTACTTTCCAATACATATCACCGTTGGCTTCCCATTCTCATTTCGCCGTCATTATTTACACTCCTTCCGCATGTCTGCATGCTCTGTATGATGATCCCAAAATTAATACAGGTGGAATCCGGATAATTCGAATATGGCTTAATTCGAACACCCCGCTTAATTAGAAGTTTTTCCGGGACCGATTTCTGTCAATACGATTCCCACATAATTTTTTCTGATAATTCGAACCTTGAACCAGACATGTCCAGTTAATTCGAAGTTCCACGGATTCCACTTACATAGAAAATGTGTGGGATTTGTGCTGATAATTCGAAGTTAGCAAAGTGTAATTCGAACTTCAATGCACACTGTACTGGTCAGTTCAGTTTGCATGAGCAGGCTGTGCCGGTCAGTTCAGTATCCGTGAAATCTGTGTCTAAGGTCCATAGCGCAACTCTGCGTGACCATGAGAGCATTTTGATATACATATTGTGTTGTGGGTTCATGTTCGGATAATTAGAATGTCCGGCTAATTAGAAGCTTTTTCCTGGCATTTCGAGGTTCGAATTATCAGGATTCCATCTGTAATTATTATTATTTCATGTATCATGAACAGCTAGTACTCTCTACACACTATCCCCGTTTAGGAACACACTTCATTTGCCATCCAACTACACATCCTTATTCAACCTCTTACACCGTACTCCGAATACAGCAGGGAGTCGAATACGACTCCCTACATTTTATTCTGAAAATATGAAGCTGGCCACGACGAGGGTTCCCCTCAGTTCTTGGTTAGTCCAGAAGGAGTGAGATTGATTTGTAGCGTCGAGTGGAGCTAGTATGCTTCCTGTTACAGAAAGAAACATGAACTGAATAGAATGCTCTAATCTTCTAAGATATTCACTGGTTGAGGGAATATCCTGTTTTTTTCCTGAATATTGTTCTAGAAAGGACGATCTTGTGCTACATGGGGAGTATATAGTACAGCAGCTAAGTATTATTATTAATCGCATTTCCGCGTCAATGTCGGCAATTTCTACGTGACAAATGCCCACAGATTCGCGCGTGCTGATTGGATACGGGAACTAAGTGCAGTTTTTAAAATAATCTCAAATTATGGCTCAAATGAATATTGGCTACGCCATCCAAAGTCGGAAGATATAAGACATACAAGGAAATTGCGGCCATTTTTTTGGTGCACACTGCAACAAAGCGCAATGATCGCATGCGCAAACATAGCGAATAACGAAGAATCCTTGTCCTAGATCGTAGCGTCTTCTTGGTTTGTTGCAGAATCAAAAAGTCTTTCTAGTATTCAACTCGGATGGTGAGCCAATAAAATTATGGTGAAAAAGGAGAAGGACAAAATGTTACGAGTTATGACTAACTGTCCACCAACGTAACCAGATCTTATACAGTAAGCGAGTGCGAGAAAATGGCACAAAACTGACAAGGAGTACTGTCATGAGACATTCGGCGACCTGACACCTATAGCTTCAACACTTCTCAATGTCTCAGTACTCCTTGTCAGTTTTGTGCCATTTTGTCGCACTCGCTAACTGTATAATATCTGGCTACGTTGGTGGACAGTTAGTCATAACTCGTAACATTTTGTCCTTCTCCTTTCTAGTATTGTAGTTACATACACTGAAATGGCACCAAATGTCCTGAAATGCTTGCAATTGGCTTCAATTTTTGAAAAAGTTTCCCGGGGGACCCCGACCCCACTTCGGAGCTTCGGATGGCCCCCCCCCCCCCCCCCCCCGCCTCCAAAGTCAGTGTGACGGGCCTGTATTTTTAAAGCCCTTAAAATTTTTAAAGCTTTTTTACACACAAAATTACATGTAACCTGCATCGGCTTTGTACAGTATGTCAGAGGTGTCAGGAACTTGCGAGACATGTACGTCTCTCTACACGAAGACAGTGATATGTTTTCAATAGACGTGATTAGTTACATGCACAGACATGGCCGCATGGCCGTGGAGCAAACTGTTTTAATCACCTGAGTTTGGTCACGCAGTAGGATGCCTTTGCAAAATACACATCACCGATGCGTCCGCTGTCAATGATTTCCTTCACTTTGACAACCTGCCATATCGAGAATAACCAATCAGGACATTAAACCGGGATTGATGTCGAAACACAGTGTTGTACTCATAGAAATATAGCATTGTTTTAATGGCAACGAAAACGTTTAGGATCATCAAACCCTAAGGCCTAACTAATTGTGTGTAATCAATGCGCAATTTGCAGTGTGTGGTGTCACCCTGGCTTGCAGTAGCGGCCAGTGATGTCGTGTCACCCTGGCTTGCAGTAGGTGTAGCGGGCATTGTAGCATCAGTATTTAAAATTATATTGCAGGGTGCACATTAATTCTGTTCAATCATGTTATATTCGGTATTGATCAGTGTTGATCAGTGTTGATCAGTGTTGATCAGTGTTGATCAGGTATATCAGTTTGCTTGTAAAAGACGCTTACTGCTCTATAAAACTCTACTTGCGCCACTTGCACCGCCAGCTGTATGATCGGCCTACTGCAGCATGCTTCTTTGCTACAGTTGAGTAAAAAGTGGCCATTGTCCCGCAGTACTGCCTGGTGCTGAAGAAGAGGGGATCGGGGTCAGCCCTGTAGGCCTAGGCTGTTCATATTTCAATGTATGGCAGTCTATGCATAGTCGAGTCACCGGGTATATATCGGTAAAGCTACGGCACGCTGTGCTTGGTGAAATCCTAGCCTGTTTGTTCTTCGGCACCCGACCGTGTTGTACTGTCACTGAGTGTAATACATTATTAGGGCTGTGTACTGCATGGTAGATGGGTACCACTGCTGCCCGTGGGCCTCACAGGCAACCGGGTACTCGGAACTGGGACCGGAATCCAATATGAATTTCATTTTCATCCGTAACGTTGCATTTACATTGCCGCAGTCTGCCACCGAGACTGCCATGAACTAACCTCTGGCCAGTACTGTGCATTCTCTCCGATCATAAACACCTTCTTGTTCTGCGTGACATGATCCTGCCCAGCTGTCAGCAGCTTCTCGCATTCTTGAAGATTAATCGCCATTGGCTTCTCCAGCAGAATATGCTTGTTGGCCTAGAGATCAGCATAGACAACGATCATTCATTGTTATGTACATGTAGGTCTCAACATATGATGTGTGGGGAGGAACGGCTTTTTTTTTAGTACAGTCGTCCCTCTCTAATCCGGCACCTTTTGCTACGGCATTTTCTGCTGGATTAACGAGGGTGCTGGATTAAGAAATCCTGCCCTCTGACCCGGCCCTACCCAATTGCATGCATGTATCATACGTCAAAACGCAGGGTTTTTCCGTGTCGACCCCAATATTTGGTGCACGGCTTTATATTCTCAACTTTTCTCCAGGAATATACACAGTGATAAAGTAAAACAGAACATGTTCACATGTATACGTACTCTTGCACACACACGCACAGTCGATTTACGACTGCCGGATTATGAAATCAAACTACGTGCAGTTTGAGCGATTCGTTTCAAAAAGTCACTGCCGGAGGCGGAATTCAAGTGCCGGATTAAGATGTAGGAATTGAACGAAAAAAATCGGTTTCGTCAGAAAGTGCGCCAGTTGGCAAGGGTTCCAGATAAACAAGTGCCGGATTAGAGAGGGACGACTGTACTCCCTGATGTGGAACTGACCTTTATGCACGCCAGCGCATGGTCGAAATGAAGGTCATGAGGTGTCATGATGTCCACAGCATCAAACTCTCCCCATTCCAGAGCCTTGTTCAGGTCATCGAATATCTGTGGAGTGGCACATGAACGGACATGGTAGACATGTGTTTCAATACAATAACATCATGGTCCCGTACTGTTATGTGACATTGTAGTTGTCAGCACATCACCGTATGCATGTCTGAGACAGCCAGTAATGAGGCTCACAGGCACATGCTCCGCTATTCCTCTCTCCTGTGATGGCCAGGCAGGCAGGCACCGTCGCTGAGCTCGCAAATGATTGGTATTAGCGTCGTCCGGCCCAGAAGATAGGTCAAAATAAACAAGATGAGTGAAATATTTAACTGGTCCAAGGGGTGGTCCAGTACTTGATATCTCCACTCACGGCTTTGCTTCCCATGCAGACATCCCCTGGGTGCCACCCTCTTTGTACCCGGCTAGTTAGCCCGAGGCATCTACCATTGCATTGTGTCACATGATAATCATGAGCCGGATTATTGAACAGCAGTGGCTATGATGAGCTACAATGTCTTGGTATTGAAGTGCAATGAGTGAACCAGTGTGCTGCCCAGTGGGTTCACTAGTATTAAGTTGTGTGCCTCCATACCGCACTTGACACCGCAAACATCAGCTGCGCAAGGTTTACCATGGTTTACTACTACAGTACTTGTAAAATTGTAAGTAAGTAATTACGTGTATACTCAATCTGCGTATATAATTATTTTAGAGCACTCATCAGATCTGGAAAGGAGGTGTTTTTCAACAGATCTCCCAAAAGAAAGGGTTGCAACTGCAAACGTTAGTCCCGACCTTTGGACTTCCACCAACTTCCTGTGCGAATAACGTGGCGTTCTCTTCCTTTGTATCAATGAGTGCTACCACAACGGCACGACCACAACTGCGTTTATAGCCTTCCAAGTGCTGCGGTGCAATAAGGCCGCACCCAACCATAGCAACTCTTAGCGTCGACATAGTCACACCACCCACAGACTAAGTAACAATGGTTGTTGTAGTGTGATCACAAGGAACCGTACAATAATAGTTCCAGATGAACAGCCTTCTTCTGAACTGGCTTCTCTCTATCTTGGATCTTGGACTCAACGGCAAATAGAAAAAATACAAGAAACAACGCACTTGGGCTACGTCTACGATCACGAGACTGCGACGTCGACTGCCATGCCCTCATCAGGCTCATGACCTCAGCTCAGTGCCAGTCTCAGTCTAGACGTCTCTGCAGCCGATCACAGATCAACGCTTGCCATAGAAACGGAGGTGTGTCGGGGGTATGCCATGGCATGTGGGTGATTCGCACCAAACATAATAATATTATCATTTTTTCTTCGTTTTCTTTCGGTGTTTATTTATGTCAGTGTTTGAAAACCTTCTTTCACCGAGATCTTTTGAAAGACGAGCTCGCCTGCATGTCAGCAATGTTTTGCTCCATGCTGAGGAGATCCTTGCCGGCTGCACACCATGGAGCTGCTGTCCGGTTTATGTGCAGTGAAAATCAGCCCTATTTGTTTGAGCGTCTATCTGGAGAAAATGAAGGTGAGGACTGCTATGCTGATACAGGAGTTTTACATTGTACCACGAGTACATAAACCAAAAGAAAAAAAAGTTTATATACTCTTGATTGTACCAGTAGTGGAGAAATTGGGAGTGCTATAAGTGGAATAAAAATTTGAGTTAGTGAGAGTACGGCTTCACCATTTACTAAATACTTACAACTGCTACTGCTGCTGAGAGAGACCAGCAGACACGACTACTAGTACTTGTAGCAACTTACTGTGCTCATGTGCCTATTCATGGGGCGCATAGGGAACCTGCACTAGCAGGAGTGGTAGCTTTGCACAAGGTACACGTGTGTCTGGGTTGGTACAAGCGGCGTCTGGTTGGTCCGTGGCATGCCATGCATCCTGACGGGCAGCTCCCCGCGGACCGTCTCTATGTGACGGGGACTTGAACATGAAGACTGCTAGGCACACAGTATTCATGGTGTCGCATCACTTGCTACTGAACCAGTTTCACTGGTCTCTGGCCAGTCCATGATGATAGCCAACAATACAATTATGTAGACCTATCACTGGACAGCTAGCTGTTTCAATCTTGTTCGATCTCGTCAGCGGAGCTCAGAGCTACTGACCGAACCGATTGCAATGAAGTCTAATGAATGACAAAGCTTTTTTTCAAACCGGTTGAAAGCATCAAAGTCAGAGTGCTCTAGCTGTGATAAACACACAGTGAGCTTTGCACGTAGACCGTACAGCACATTCTGCACAGTAGAGTTATCTTTAGCACATTTTTCATCACCATAATTTGAAGAAGGCTTGGCTGCTGGCAGGACTAATGCAGCACCACGGCTTGAGTGCCAGGGGCTCACAGTTTTCTTGCTGACTTTCTGTACAGCCAAAGTCAATCCGCTGTTGCCAGCTGATCATCCTAGACTAGTATCACATGCAGTGTGTGTTCAAACCGTGCATACTGCTAACCATACATACTGCTAACCATACATACTGCTAACCATACACAGGGGCGTGCTCGGCCCCCCAACTAGGGGGTGCACGGGAGCCGAGGGGAGCCCCCCCCCGGCAAATTTCTGCAATTTGTTTGCAACCTTTCTTGAATTTTAGAGCATATTTGCATACATTACAATTGCAATTACCCAGATTGAAAATGTTTGGGGGGTGCACGTGCCCCCCCGTGCCCATCGCCGAGCACGCGCCTGCATACATACTGCTAACCATACATACTGCTAACCATACATACTGCTAACCATACATACTGCTAACCATACATACTGCTAACCGTACATACGGCTAACCAGGCATATTTTTCCGACTGCCGGCACGTCTTTCTCTAAGACAACGCCATGGTTGAGAGGAAGGTGTGCCTGTCGTCACCGAGCAGTAACCACTCTCACTCCGGATTTAAACATTCCTCTCACCACAATCTTGAGAACGGTACAGCACAGGGGTAGAGTGCCGCGGGACACGGGAGGCTGAAACATTTGATTTTAATTTTGCTCACCGTTGCTGTGCTGCGTGTGTGTTATTTGTATTATGCAGGCATAGGTGTTATCTCCATGAACCGTGCTAAAGTGAACGCACTGGGCAAGGAGACGCTCACTTTTGTAGGTTGACAGTCAGTAGCTGTGTTTTGTATACACACTGCCTCTCTGTGCATATCCTATATTATAGACTGCTAGACTGTACACTGTTCTGTGAGCACTACACACACACATACATCCGCATACATACACGCATGCATGCACACACACATGCACACACGTGCACATACACACATGCACACACACACACACACATATGTGCACATGCACGCGCACACACACGCATACACACACACTCTCTCTCTCCTCTCTCTCTCTCTCTCTCTCTCTCTCTCTCTCTCTCTCTCTCTCTCTCTCTCTCTCTCTCTCTCTCTCTCTCTCTCTCTCTCTCTCTCTCTCTCTCTCTCTCTCTCTCTCTCTCTCTCTCTCTCTCTGTGTCTGTACATATTATACACATCCCACTCTTTATCTGCTGCATGCCCTGCATGTCTAGTTATAGTAGTGCACATCTTTCTGGAATATCAGTATGGAATATGCACTGCACACTGCACACCCTGTCTGCGAGGATTGGTATGCACACCAGCTATGTTAGTTGTTTTGTATTTGGTTTGAACAGTTCGTCTCAAGTCATGGTTCTGGTCTTTCATGGCAGTACAGTCATGCTTCTTCTGCTCTGTAACCTTTCTGTGGTTTGTTGTCTTGGTCGTGGTTCTGTTTCTCTATCGAGACAGATGAACTCAATCATGAGCGAACTGAGTACAGACAAGGCAACGCGTGTCCTCATTCTCCGCAGTATCATCCCAGGAGTGTTCTGTGCTGGCGCTGATTTGAAGGAGAGAGTGAAGTTCACAGAAGATGAGGTATAGTGCTGTCTATAATAGTAGACACCCTTAGCAAAACACGTTATGTTGTAACGGTATTACCGTAAGGGGGAAAATACCGTGATTTGGGTTCGACCTTTAGCAAGATGCACGCTATTTTTAGAACGCTGTTGCCACGAGAATGCTATTATTTCGTGCGGTACAACCATTTATGTCACCATATACGCGATACAAGGTGAAATGCGTACGGACTATGCAATATTTGGCCACAAAACGTACCGTTGGTCACAACGATAAATCACACCCCATAACGTTTTTACGCTGCAGCTTCAACGCTATTTGGGTGATAAGGGTACGAGTACCGTAAATAATAGCGTTACCGTTGTTTGCTAAGGGTGTCTACTGTCGCAAAGTCGTCGTTGATGCAACATCATACCAGTCTGAGTTTGAAATGTATCAATCTGTGTATGGTAGAACGGCTTATTTTTAGCATTTTCTGAATCAAGACCAATACACGATGAAATATCTTAGCAAAGCGACATTCAGAGTTCAAAAATTAATAGTCTTGTACTGATGTACTGTACATGCAAAATTTCGAATGGCAGGGCAAAATGTAGCGAAAATACTCCTTTCACTAAAATCGCTAAAATATCACCGGCGCTAAAATTAGCTGTTTTACAGTATTGCGTGAAGGATACAGCGATGCAGCACTTCTAATTTACCCAATGTGAGTTTTGTGAATGATGGACCAAGCAGGGAAGTCATAAGTGAAGAGGGGAAGAATGTATGATTTAAAAAAATTAATGTGACAGCTATGGCGTAAATGGGCGAAGTGGCTTGTCATTATACCAACATATCGGCATACCCGGGAAGATACATGATCAGCATAATAAGACCAGGATAGGGCGGGATCCAATACGATACCAAGGTGCTTATGGTGAGGCGCCACAGGGAGCGAGTGCCCGGGATTGTCAGGAAAGTGGGAGACAAAAAGAATAGTAGTTTGGTTTTGTCCACTTTTGGCCTAAGATACCACGTGTTTGTCAATTGGACGATGTCATTGGACGATGTCATTGATGCAGATCTGGACTATGGGATACAGGGTGGAGTGAGATGGGGAGGAAGCGAGGAGGGTGCGGTATCATCGGCAAACAATGAGACATTGGGGATTGCATAGGGGAGATCATTAACATAGGTCAAGAAAAGCAGGGGACCTAGAATGGAACCCTGGGACACTCCACATGGCACCGGTTCAGGGTCAGACAAAGTGCCATTACTGTGACGCGCTGACTTCGGTCGGTAAGATAGCTCATGTACTGCGCTGGCAAGTCCACAAAAGACGAAGCAGTGCTGTCTGCAGAGTAAGCAGCTTCATCTGACTGGTACTTGTACAGTCTGTATCGGCTATAGAGTGACCGGATATAAGAATATATCGGCTACAGTGATATTGATTCATTGCACTCCCAACTCATCACAACCACGCGCTCTTCAGCCGAACCATACAGACACCAGCAAGGACACTTCCGTTGAGAGATAATATTGCTCCACGCCCCTAGACAGCTGTTTCGCTCCCTGTCGGAGCTCATCAGTAGAGGATGATAATGATGATAATGGAGGAATGATCATTCTTATACACCAGAAATGGCGCAAGTGCGCGCTTTCCACATATATCAATGGCATATGCAAGCTGCTAAAATGGTAAAGTGTGAGAACAGCGATAAATAATCATAGTACGCGCTCATTGGTGGAGAAACACACCACACAAGCGACGAAAATCTTACTCGGAATACTGATGCCAATGGAAAGTACACGTATGTTGTTTATTATTATGATGTTGCAATGTCCATGTATGCAGGCGAGGCGAGACTCACCGCCGAGATCCCCCAACGCGACAGGCTCGGTTGCCGTTCAGGATTCACACCGACCTGTCCGCCCGTCAACAGGATCGACAGCGGGAGGCCCCACTGATGCCGATGTCGATGCACACCAGGAAACTTGTAGTCGTGAGTGTGATACTAACAAGTCTAGCAGCAACCACCGACAAACGAGAGGCCAGCTGGGGCATTCACTCCAGTCAGGGATGCTTGGTCGACGCTTCGTATCAGCAGCTCAGCTCAGTTTGATCAAAGATGTTGCAGATGTGTCTTGCTTTCCTCCTTCCTTCTTCACCGACTCGTCTTGTCATCTCTCCTTCTTTCTTCACCGACCCTTCGTGTCCACTCTGCTCTGCCACTAACGGCGCATTAAAACTTCAGAACTAAAATATTGCGACAGAGCTTGTGTGTGTGTGTGTGTGTGTGTGTGTGTGTGTGTGACAAAGCTCTGTCGCAATATTTTAGTTCTGAAGTTTTAATGCGCCGTTAGTGGCAGAGCAGAGTGGACACGAAGAGTCGGTGAAGAAAGAAGGAGAGATGACAAGACGAGTCGGTGAAGAAGGAAGGAGGAAAGCAAGACACATCTGCAACATCTTTGATCAAACTGAGCTGAGCTGCTGATACGAAGCGTCGACCAAGCATCCCTGACTGGAGTGAATGCCCCAGCTGGCCTCTCGTTTGTCGGTGGTTGCTGCTAGACCTGTTAGTATCACACTCACGACTACAAGTTTCCTGGTGTGCATCGACATCGGCATCAGTGGGGCCTCCCGCTGTCGATCCTGTTGACGGGCGGACAGGTCGGTGTGAATCCTGAACGGCAACCGAGCCTGTCGCGTTGGGGGATCTCGGCGGTGAGTCTCGCCTCGCCTGCATACATGGACATTGCAACATCATAATAATAAACAACATACGTGTACTTTCCATTGGCATCAGTATTCCGAGTAAGATTTTCGTCGCTTGTGTGGTGTGTTTCTCCACCAATGAGCGCGTACTATGATTATTTATCGCTGTTCTCACACTTTACCATTTTAGCAGCTTGCATATGCCATTGATATATGTGGAAAGCGCGCACTTGCGCCATTTCTGGTGTATAAGAATGATCATTCCTCCATTATCATCATTATCATCCTCTACTGATGAGCTCCGACAGGGAGCGAAACAGCTGTCTAGGGGCGTGGAGCAATATTATCTCTCAACGGAAGTGTCCTTGCTGGTGTCTGTATGGTTCGGCTGAAGAGCGCGTGGTTGTGATGAGTTGGGAGTGCAATGAATTGAAAATCTGGCCGAAAGCTCTGTCGCAATATTTTACAGTGATATTGGTACGAAATATCAACAGCAAAACGTATTTTATCCAGTACAAATATCACTATAACCAATATTATCGGATGTATTAAATGATATAATTATCGGATATTATGATGGCAACAAAGAATCAAAACATGCATAACACACTATATTATTATCGGCTAAAGTGATAACTTTAAAATACATGTAGCAATAATATCAAAGGCCCTATTTTTTACTTTTCTTCACGCTGATTATTTTTATAGTGATACAAGTACCGAAAGAGCAATACAGCAAGCTGATGAAGGAGAACATCACCAAAAACTACAAGATCGCGCCTGAGAATGCTTATGATGAAGTCAACAGCGAGGCGAAGGAGATCGCAGAGGATCTAGATCTTCAAAACAGGATGGATGTACTGGCTAAGTCGGAAGCATTTATAACACTGAAAGACCACAAAAACAACTTCGCTAGAGCGCTGCCCTGCAGACTCATTAACCCAGCCAAATCGGAGGTGGGTGTGGTGAGCAAGGCTATACTGGAGAAGATCGTGGCTGCTGTGCGTCGCCAAACGGCCGTGAACCTATGGAGGAGCACCATGTCAGTGATCGAGTGGTTCAAGGAGATACCCGACAAACAGCGCCACACGTTCCTATGCTTTGACGTGGTAGAATTCTACCCGTCAATTGGTGAGCAGCTCCTCCGTCAGGCCTTATCGTTCGCGGAGCAATTCACCACGATCGAGCCGCGTGAAATGGACATCATCTTTCACGCCCGGAAATCGCTCCTATTCCACGATGGCCGCCCCTGGATGAAGGACAAGGGCGACATGTTCGACGTAACAATGGGAAGTTACGATGGCGCCGAGACGTGCGAACTTGTGGGAGCCTTTCTTCTCAACCAGCTCTCAAGCCTCGTCGATAGATCCGCTATCGGCCTCTACAGAGACGATGGACTGGCCGCCCTCAAGGACACCAGCCCACAGGCCGCAGACCGCCTCAGAAAAAAGTTGACGGAAATCTTCAAGCGCTTCGACCTCAAAATTACCATCGAAGCGAACTTGAAGGTGGTGGATTTCCTGGATGTCACCATGAACCTGGACACCGGGAAATTTCAACCCTTTCGAAAACCAAATGACAACCCGCTCTACGTCAGCAAGCAGTCCAACCACCCGCCTGGGATCACCAACAACATCCCTGCTGCTGTCAACAAGCGCCTTTCCGCTATATCGAGCGACGCGGAGGCATTCACCCATGCAGCCCCCGTGTACCAGACCGCATTAAAGGCCAGTGGATACACCGAAGTGCTGAGCTTTCAGCCCGAGGCACATGAGCACATGGGCAGGAAGAACCGCAGCCGGAAGATCATATGGTTCAACCCTCCCTACTCCAAAAACGTTAGCACAAACGTCGCTGGTAGGTTCCTGAGCCTTGTCTCCAGGCACTTCCCGAAAACATCCAAGCTCGGGAAGATTTTCAACCGTAACACTCTGAAAGTGAGCTACAGTTGCATGCCCAACATGGGAGCGGTCATCAGCAGCCACAACAAGAGCAACCTCCGAGAGCCAGAACAAACCAAGGCATGCAACTGTAGAATCAAGGAATCCTGCCCGCTGCGCGGAGAGTGCCAGACGAAGGAGATTGTGTATGAGGCCACTGCAGAATCTACCAGCAAGATTTACATCGGCCTATCAGAGACACCTTTCAAAGCCCGTCACGCCAACCACCTGACCTCCATGCGTCATGAGAAATACAAAAACAGCACTGAGCTCGCAAAACACGTATGGGAGCTGAAGAGCGAGGGAAAGCCGTTGACCATTACATGGAAGGTGCGGGAGAAGAGCCAATCATACAGATGTGAGTAAAAAAAATGCAATCTTTGTACCGCGGAAAAATTCCACATCCTGACTACACCCAAGAAGCTCCTACTCAACAAGCGGTCTGAGATGGTCTCGAAATGCAGGCACGAGAATAAGTTCCGCCTCGCAAATTTCACACCTATCAAATGAACTGACCAAGTACTGTACTGCACTTTGCCTGAGCACCCATTATTATTAATAACAAAATCCCTTGGCCTGTAGTCGGCGATGCCACTCTGCTCACGCCTGCCCGTCACCAAACGACTCCCTACTTGTAGCGATCTCACTGGCCCATTGCCCGCCACCCTCCTGGCACCTCCACCCATCTGCTGTACACTGCCTCCCCATCGCCTCTTTCCGCGCTTTCATGCTCACACCTGCCTGTTGCCCGCCACCATCCTGGCACTTCCCCCTGTCGCGCCTTGGCCCGCGCCAGCTTTCTCCCCATACCTCACACCAGATTTAGCGCTAAATTTGTTTATGCTTGTGGCTCTATGTTTATAAGCATACTGTTGGGTAGACCCGAGTATCAGTTGTCTGATGATTGCCTAGCGGCATAAAACTCAGAGTTACAACCAACCTGAACGTCCTCCGCTGAGTTTGCTATATAGTGATACATGTACATGTACATAACAGAGTTTTTTTCATGGAAATGCAGGCACTGTCAACTATGCAGCATGCTCACTTGTCAAAACGCCATGCTGGAAGTATTTCCTTGCCTTTCATGTGTCGATCGTAAAAAATCGATCGTATCGCATATAGTGATGCATCGGTTATAGTGATAAAATCACGGAAATCAAAAGGGTACGCTATAGCCGATACAGACTGTACTTGGTATGTGTGTGTGTTGTGCCTGTACCGGTATAGGTTCGTATGTATGTTCGCCAAGCACAGAAGATGATAACTGACTTAGAGCAGCTTAAGATGCCTGTCATTGGTGCGCTGGATGGCCATGCCATGGGCGGTGGACTGGAGTTTGCGCTAGCCTGCGACTTCCGTGTTGCAGGTACGCACGCCTGGTCCCATCCTTGTTGGCAGTGTACCACTAGTCTGGTGTGTTCCCCTTCAATCCCTGACATGCACACACACACACACACACACACACACACACACACACACACACACACACACCTGACCTGACCTGACCTGAACATTGCTGTAAGACGGTCACATGTCCCCCCCCCCCCCCACACACACACACATGCATGCATGCGTGCACACACACGTTCCCGCACACAGATATGCACACATGCATGCACAGCTGTTATGAGTCGGTAGAGTGTACTTCCCTTTGCTTGTCATTGTCCTCCCGCTTATACATGTACATGTTAGGATTATTGTTGTGTTTTGTTGTGTTTTGTTGTGTTTGTAAGACCTGTGCTGGATCTGGTTTCTGTAGCAAGTGGGCTCATGTTATCCTAGTTAGCATGAGAGTATCACGTTCTCTCTTGATCAAAACTCATCCGGTATGGGTTCCGTTCCAATCGTGCTGTGGAGTCTTTCTCACCATTCATACCATGTTTGTGTTTCTACCTATATCTGCACTTGGCCAATTGTTCTCCTCCAGCGACCAATGCTAAAATGGGCTTGGTGGAAACCCGGCTTGCCATTATTCCAGGCGCAGGTGAGTGCTGCATCCTTTTTAGTGCCTCAGTAATGAGCAACGGGTGGGGGGGGGGGGGGGGGGGGTGGGGACACCACTGTACAGTGCTATGCAATAGCAGGCTAGCAGTGCACTCTTTATCAAGGCTTTCTTGGCCGAATCAGGCCAGTGCGGGCGCTAATCCAGTACGGGCGATTGCACTGTAGCCAGCAGTCACACATGCACTGTAGCCAGCAGTCACACATGCACTGTAGCCAGCAGTCACACATGCACTGTAGCCAGCAGTCACACATGCACTGTAGCCAGCAGTCACACATGCACTGTAGCCAGCAGTCACACATGCACTGTAGCCAGCAGTCACACATGCACTGTAGCCAGCAGTCACACATGCACTGTAGCCAGCAGTCACACATGCACTATAGCCAGCAGTCACACATGCACTGTAGCCAGCAGTCACACACATGCACTGTAGCCAGCAGTCACACATGCACTGTAGCCAGCAGTCACACATGCACGATAGCCGATAGTCACACATACACTATACTCGCAAAGTGAACGCAAGCATGACCTCGTGTTGCTCTCATACACGAGCGTTATGTCCTGAGCCAACAACCTCAGTTTCTTCGTCATTCACCGCAATACCATTATTGACCTCGGACTGATCCAGATCTGGTGGTGCCTTCCTGAATTCGTACCAATATACCAAGAAAAACGAATAGCGGACATCGTCTGGGAACAATGTACATGTAGGGAATATGCAGTGTACGAGGGTACGAGGTGTTGTGTGAGTGCAGTGTACGAGGGTACGAGGTGTTGTGTGAGTGCAGTGTACGAGGGTACGAGGTGTTGTGTGAGTGCAGTGTAAGATAGCAGTAGATTTGGTACATTCGTTCTGTTCTGTTGTTACTCAGGTGGAACACAGCGTCTCAGCAGACTTGTCGGCCGTGCCAAAGCCAAATACCTGATCTTCACAGCAGCGGTGGTAAGTGCAACGAGGGCAGTGCTTTTAGCGGCAGAATCGGTGTGTGTGTGTGTGCGTGTGTGCGTGCACGTGCGCGTGTGCATGCAGTTAGATTGGTGTTCGCTGGAAGACATGAAAAGCAAGAAAACTTCTTCTGTTTTTCTTCCTTTGTCCTGTCAGCTAAAAGGCGAGGAGGCAGCGAAAATTGGTCTGGTTGATGAAGTTGTGGACCAGAATGATGCCGGTGACGCAGCGTATCATGCAGCTGTTGACATGGCACGCAAGATTGTACCCCAGGTGAGAATTCCCGCCTCATCTGGTTTGTTTTGTTGTGTGGCAGTGATTCACGCCATAGTGCAGGATATCGTGTGACCTCTTCTTTGTGTTTTAACCACCCAAACGTTGTTCCATTGAAGGAGCATCTCCCCAACTGACTTGCATGCTTTTTCCAACATAGAGCCTGTGTCAACTGGATGTCGGTAGCTTTACTAATAGTGCCTGAACTCAAATATCACCAAGAAAAACCACATGCCAATAATGTGTATGCATCAGACTGCTTTGAGTAGGGTACAATGGTGATACGTACAACTAGCTAAATAAAATACATTTATTTTATTCCCGTAGCTATGCAGAAGACGTTACTTCAGTAACGTCTGGCGCTAGCCAGGGTCCACACAGCTTTAATTTGGTGTTTGTTTGTTTGTGTGTTTGTGTCATGCCTGGCGCTATCCCGTATCCGTCCCGTACCGTACCGTACCATCAAACACAGCTGGCCACAAACAGCTGGCCACAATATTCAAATAGGGCTTTCGAATGCAAGATCATAACGTGAAGCAACTTGGAAGAATGAATATGAATGCGAAGTGTATTGGGGAATGCATGTAGGGCGATAGCGCGGGTTCGAATCCCAGGTTATGCCTTAAAAAATTGGAGAATTGAAAACATCCCTATGCTTTTTTGCCTATGTCATCAAGGTGGTAGACGGTGTCGTATTACCCTCGACCGTATCTGTCCCGTGCCGTACCGTACCATCAAAGACGGCTGGCCACAAACAGCTGGCCACGATATTCAAATACTAGTAGGGCTTTCAAATGCAAGATCATAACGTGAAGCAACTTGGAAGAACTAGTATGTATGCGAAGTGTATCGGGTGATGCATGCAGGGTGATAGTGCGCGGGTTCGAATCCCAGGTTATATAAAAAATAGGAGAAATTAAAAAAATTTAACATCCCAATTTTTGTTTTTGCCTAGGTTATCAAGGCTAAAAAGCATAGCGTAGGGCCCTGAGCTTCCAAGCTCTCTCGTAAGCCTGTGCATGTAGTGCAAACCGTGTACATGACAGTGATCACAGATATCTTACTGGTGACTACAATGACCTAAATGCTGATGTCAGGCGGTTGCGGCTTGCCGATGAGTCTGCCGTCTTCACATGTGGGCCGCATTCACGTGCGGACCACGATAGATCTGCAAGCATGCTATCATCTTGGCAATGACTGTTTCTCATGTGTCGTGTCTCAGAATTTCATGAGCTTCTTGCTGTGTGACTACTGCTGTGTGTGACTACTGCTGTGTGTGACCTGTGTGTGACCTGTGTGTGACCTGTGTGACTACTGCTGTGTGTGACCTGTGTGTGACCTGTGTGACTACTGCTGTGTGTGACCTGTGTGTGACCTGTGTGACTACTGCTGTGTGTGACCTGTGTGTGACCTGTGTGTGACCTGTGTGTGACCTGTGTGTGACCTGTGTGACTACTGCTGTGTGTGACCTGTGTGTGACCTGTGTGTGACTACTGCTGTGTGTGACTACTGCTGTGTGTGACTACTGCTGTGTGTGACCTGTGTGTGACCTGTGTGTGACCTGTGTGTGACCTGTGTGTGACCTGTGTGTGACCTATGTGTGACCTGTGTGTGACCTGTGTGACCTGTGTGTGACCTGTGTGTGACTACTGCTGTGTATCTACAGGGTCCTATTGCAGTGGCAGCCGCAAAGCAAGCTGTTAATCAGGGAATAGAACAGAACCTCGCGGATGGTCTCAACACAGAGTGGGCTTGCTACGAGAAGGTATGGTAGACATATGGTCACTGTGCTGTTTGTTGTAGCCATTGATGAACTTACTGTCATTGCAGACATTGAAATCCGTTGAGAAGTCAAGCGTGAACTACAGTGCATGTGCGCACGTTAAAGCAGTAAGGGCACCGGCCCGGTCATTCCACCGGATTTCAATCAGTCCACGACAGTATGTTGCAGGATCTGTATTTGGAGTAAAGAGTCATACATGATCTGTTTCTAGCTGCCTGCCCCGTGACACGGAGACCTGCAGTGACTGAACTGAGCATTGGTGTAACTTGGTGCTGAGTGACTAAGAGATCAGCCTTTGTGTCCACTTACGTAGTCTTCACTCATATAGTCGATGTTTACGGTTTCTTCATGAGTCGGTATTTGCGCAATTCTACCTCCCCCAGGAATAAATTCACAGTTCACATGAGACGCAGTCAGACTGCGTTTTTGGCATCCGTAAGAACACCATCGCCCTCGAGGATCAAGGGGCTGATGCACTAGCAGCATCTAAAACAGTGGTTGATCAGACTCATCACACACACACACACAATGGTCACAGAACTCACCACACACACAATGGTCACAGAACTCACCACACACACAATGGTCACAGACCAAAACTCCCAGTCGCAATTATACACAAAATACCGTGCGTTTATGTATTATGCAGCAGAGACCCAGCCAGAGATGTGTGATGTGTATGAAATCCCCAAAAGACGGGGTCCCTGTGCGGAGAGCCTACTCCGAGCAGATGCATCTGTTTGGCCATTCTGCAGGTTATTCCAACGAAGGACCGCATTGAAGGCCTCATGGCGTTCAAGGAGAAGAGAAAGCCAGTGTACCGCGGCGAGTGATGCCGTGCTGCGAGCACCCGGTGTGTGATAATACGCGATGATCTCCATGCATGTCTTCTAACTGGACTGTATCGACGCGCAGGTACGCACAGATACACTACCATACTGCCCATCAGCTGGCTAGTGAGTGCCATGGATACTACAGTAGATAGCTTCTATTCAATCCTTGCACAGTAGTCACTCTCAGCTACTAACATATAGATATGACTGTTATTTTCAGCCTTAGTAGTGGTTTTTATCTGCCTCCTACCAAGCTTATTCTCTTCTTGATTGGCATACCTGTATTTCTTTGTATGGACAGTATCGTTTGCTTGTACTTCGAAGTATCTTTCGTACAAGTATGTTTGTTTGTCTCATCACGCCCTATGCATGTACTGGAACTGCAGTTATGTAAACTTAGACGCCGTCTACTGCTGTCAGCTTTGTTTTATTTTAGGTCCGACGTGAACAGTGTCTCTTACATCGATACGTCCCAGGGAGGCTGTTCCATTTCTCTCTTTCTGGCTGCCTCTCGACCCACAGACCCGGTGTGCGGATGTGCGGTAAAAAATACTTTTCTTACATGTAAAATAGAAGAAAAACACATGGGAACGAGTTATGAAGCGCATGTCTAGTTCACCAGCTGAATTTCGCTCATCCATCAAAATAATATACCTAGGGTTCCCTGTAAAAAGGCGCTGGCGCCTGTTGGGAATTCCCTAGTAAAAGAAGAATAAAAATAAAAATAATAATAAAAAAGCAACTATCCACGACTGTAACAAGATAATAAGCAGTCAGACAGTGCGATAACAGGGCACAAAACTGACAGGCTACTGAGACATTCAACGACCTGAGACTTAGCTCTAATACAGCTCCAATGCGCAAACCAACAGCCTTCCAACTTGGAAGGTACGCTGTTAGGTAGGACCGAACACTTTCTGACTGCTTATTATCTTGCTACAGTCGTGGATAGTTGCTTCATAACTCGTTCCCATGTGTGTTTTCTTCTATTTTTACATTTCGTATTGGCTCAGTATCCGAGTTAACACAAGCATCTGCATGCCGCACTCACACAACGAGCAACCAGTTTGGGGAATTGGAGGGTTTGTCAATTGCTTTGCCAGGCTCCGAGTGAGTGACAGCTTACAGCTGTGTGAATGTGTGTGTATGGCAGCTGGGCAGGGCCCTGCTGCAGAGGCTGAGTGAGCCGTATGGAGGCAGCCGGGCAGGGCCCGGCTGCGGAGGCTGAGTGAGCCGTATTGAGAGGCTGAGTGTGAGAGGCTGAATGAGCCGTATGAGGAGCCTGGTACGCAAGGTTGACTCCCCTCCATGTATTTACAGAGTTTCGCCTGTAGACGGCATCGGTGTAGTTATTGTAGGCCGGTATGATAATGGATACCGACAGGAGAGAACTAGAACAGGAAACATGATGATGACAATAGTGGAGTGGGTGGGTGGGTTGAGAAAGAAATCCACTGCCAATGCGGACAAAGCAAGACTGAAGTCAGGAACAGTGGACTTCGGAGAACAATGAGCGCGCGAGAGTTTGTTGGGAACAGAGCATGCGCCTTCTGTGTTAACATATTTTTGCGCGTGCGCAAAGAATCATTTAAATTTTCTTACATGGTACAAATATTAATTAACTGCAGTTCTTTGTTGCATTGAACTGTCATGCTGCCAAGCACAGCCCAGAAAAAAATCGAAAGTGAACCTAATGAAGATTAAGATTCAGCATTGCGTCCTTGGTCCGGCCAGCAGCTCAAAGCACATCTACTATTATGGTAAACAAAATAATAATCCTATCATTGAGCACCAATAGCTCTCAAACTCATAAATATTTTCAACTGAGAGGGAAACCTGTGTGCTACAAGTTGTCTATGCAGTATGTGTCCAATATGCAGTATGTGTTGTCTATGCAGTATGTGTCCAATATGCAGTATGTGTCCAATATGCAGTATGTGTCCAATATGCAGTATGTGTTGTCTATGCAGTATGTGTCCAATATGCAGTATGTGTCCAATATGCAGTATGTGTTGTCTATGCAGTATGTGTCCAATATGACATCTGAAATATCAGGTTCTTATCCTCTCTGTAACGAGATTTGCTGGATTCTGGGTGCATTTTTCTCAGGAGCAGATCTTGGTAGGTCGTAAGCTGAGTAGCAGCAGCTCCATGATAGCCGCACTGGTAACAATCTGAGGTACTTCTTGCACGAGCACCTAAATCTTGCTAATGTTTCTCGTTTTCTGCTGTGGCCGTACGAAGTGCAAGTTTCTTGCGCAAGTAGGCGTGGACTTCTTTCTTAGAAGTTAGCAGGTGTTCATCTGCGTCCTCCCAGTTTGAGCATCCTGTTTGCGTGTGTGAGAAGTAGTGATTCATTCGCAGCTCCGTTCTTGGGTTGACGGAAAGTGGGCCCTTGCCAATGGCTGTGCAGTGTCCTTGGTCAATTATCTGGTTAACGCGCCAGTTTGTGTTCATCACCGACTTGGGACGGTTGCTGCTCGGTCCATCCTTGCACTGTTGGTCACCGAGCTCAATAAGCAGGCCGTCACTAGAATCTGCGTAGCACTTGCCACTCTCCCTGTCGGAAGCCTTGCTTGACAACTGCACGGAGTTGATCATGTCCCAGTTTGACACAAGCAACGATGATTTAAACTCGAGATCGTTCTGCTTGTCCAGCTGCCGTATGAAGCGTCCGATGAGCGACTCAAACTTGTTTGGTTCGGCCGGCACATCGATGGGTACCATGCGCTCATCCACATCTGACGTGATTATCCACTGGTGAAGTGAGGAATGGCGACGAACGCAGGCATTCATTGCATTGCTCTGCGTAATCCACCACTGCTGCTTCTGAGCCCATTCCCACCTTAAAACCCGTGCAAAGCGCGCCACGCCCTGTCGCTTGTTCCAGGCTTGCACCAGCGAGGAGATCTTGCCATCTTGCACCTGTGAGTTGTCGAGTATGTAAGCATTGCGAACGCCGATGAACAGATAGTACTGCAGCCATTCCTCCAAGCCGCACGCCTTGCTGACCATTGTACAGATTCCGACGGACAGGTCTTGCGTTGTAGCCACCGCCTTGTCTTTAGCTTCTCCATTGCTGCTGCTGCTGCGCATGGGGATATAGGTAGGTGGCTTTACAACACCGGCTGTATTCTTGTCTGGCTTGTGAAGTGGGCAGGCAAACGACACCGGGTAGTGCGCTGTCTGACTTCCGGACGACGAGCGCCGTCTCAGCTGCACCTGGAATGCCTTGGTCAAGTCCTGCTCGGCCTCGGCTGACTTGCTCGCTGAGGATCTGTACTTCTGCAGTGCTGCAAGTGATTCTCTGGCCACGGAGTTTGGAATGGCACAGGTCAGGATAGCACAACGGTAGCGGTGCGCTTTGCTGCAGTCACCCTCCTCTGGCCACAGTGTGTTGTCGTGATTAGAAGAACGCTCCACGCTCGACGTCTCCCCATTGAGAGAGAACTTGCATTCGTACTCGCTGCTCGAGAAGCCGTTCGCTTCCGGGAACCAGCGCTTGTACAAGTTGCTCACGCCCCTCCCCTCGTCGGACGGCTCTAGATCAAGGACGAAGTGAACGGTGGGTTCCATGCGTACTTTCTCGCTCTCCGTCTTCAGCTGGCTATCCCTAGCACACGGCGTACCCGTGGCAAACACATCCACTATAGATGGCAGCTCAGCCCATTTAGACTGCCCGCGTTGTGCAACACTGCACTGTGGGAACGTCTGCCACATGATTGCGCCCGATTCCGGGTCGTAGACGCACGGGCCTAGGATCTGTGGAGATGTTTTCCCTCTCCGCTGGTGCGTGTTGCTAGCGTTACCGGCAAAATAATTCCGGCTTAGCGCACTCCACTGTCTCTGTGTACTCGGGGCGAGTAGCAGCAGAGCTATACCGAACACAAGTAACAATCCGACGGATTGCCATCGCCTCCCAGCTGATCTGAAACTCAACATTGCCGGTCCGAGCTCCTCTCCCTGTTGCCGTTACCAGGTTACTCCTCAGTGTTTCGTACTACTAGTACTCTCGTGCAGTCTATACACTCTTCTTGCAGTCGCATGCAATACTTCAGTTCAGACCTTGGTAAGAAGAATGTCCAATAGAATGTGCTCCACTCCGAGACGAGATACTACTAGTTACGAGTAAGCGAACCTAAGTAGTTTACTTTTAGTTACTACTGTTGCATGCATGCGATGTCTGATGGGAAGATGATCGCCTTTAGTTTTAGAGGACTGGAGTAGAACTCAAACGTACGTGACCGCAGTACCTGTACTGAATGAATGGCTGTTCACACCACGCTTTTAGACTGATTTCCAGAACTCCTTCCTGACCCTCTGGTAGATCTAGTAGTAGTAGTAGTAGTAGGTGGACGTCGACACTCGACGACAGATCTCTTGTCCTTTGCCACAGTCTATGTTGTCTACCTGGTCGACTAGCGACGAGGTGCAGTGTGTCCACGCTCCTGGTCCATGTGCCAGCCGCATGGCTTGATAAAGCTTAGCACGTGCTCAGGGTCAGTTTCAACGACGTCATTGCAAACCCTACTACATACTCATAATGAGTCATAATTATTATATTACTGTCCAGTAGATCTACTACTAGTACTAGAGTCTTGCATGATTGTCAAAGAACTTCTATTGACAAATTCATGATTGTCCGGAAAAATGAAGGGAAGAATCTAGTCAAAAGCTTTGTCTTGGTCTTTGCGGCTTACACAATACAGCATGCAACAGTATGCATGACCACGACTGGCACGACTGGCACGAGGCACGACGCGACCACGAAGTAACGTTAGTTCGAAGGCATGATGTCCATGATGACGGCAGTGACCATGGTGACACGCTAACATCTACAGTCTACAGACCAGTACAGACCAGTACAGTATCTACTCCTACATGTAGCCTAGGGCCTAGGGGTATGGTAGTGCTATGGTTACAGGCGTTTCCACGGTGAATACAAACCATGTGACACCGAATGACTGAATGAATGGCCAAGCTAGCATGCAGTCTTTCGCCGGTTTCGGACAGTATCCTCCACCGGAACAAAGTCCGTCACAGTAGCTCTGATCTGGCGTTCATGTACGGGCGGTAGATAGCAGGTGACACTACAACCAGTACAGGCAGTAGATCTACTGCTTAGGCTTTTCTCTCATCACAGATAAGAAAGGACCGAATCGGCGAATGGCGAATGACATGACATCGCATTGTCGGTTGTTTCGTTCATTGTTGGTCGTTTCGGACGAAAGAGCTAGCGTCGAGTCTATGCAACGTCGTTGCTAGCGGCGTGTGTTTAGAAGCTACACATCTTCCTCGGCCTCCTCAGTCCTGTGTGCGTGCCTGGCCTCACGCTGATGTTGCTGTCTAAATGATTGTGGTGAATGGTTGACTACAAGCACCGACCGTGCAGCTACTAGCTAGTGATAGTCGCGGCCATTCCCGAGTCGAGATGTCCAGGTACAAGCAAGCTGACTCAACAAGTAGCTATGATCGTAGCAAGTCGGTTGCTGACTCGGTGAACGAAAGTCGCCTGAAGGCTTCCCACCCTATCCGTGCCTATCGCGACTGCAATGCGGTGGCGCAGGATGCCGTCTTTCGGCAGCGAGTCGACAAGGAGAGGCAAGCGTCATCGCTCTGGCAAGAACGTTGGTCGTTCCTCACACAAGTCGACCAACACGGCAGGCCCCGCACAGCACCAGCATTGCCCAGTAAATGGGCCTTTTTCGACGAGAAGCCTGCCCCGGCACCGCCGACGCGTCAGAAAGAGATCGGATTGGCCGTTCGCCAGCCTTCCGCTACAGTCCGTAACTTGCGCAGCATTGAGAGAACTGACAGCCGAGCCAGGAAACGAACGGATATAGGCAGTACGTACGCAATGCAGTCTTAGGCCGGCCGAGGGAATCCGTTACTTCTGAGCATTTCTCCGGCACCTACCCACGCGGTAAAGCCCTGCACTGCTGGATGATGGATGATCTGTTCATGATGATGATGATGTGAGTGTGTGTGTGTGTGTGTGTGTGTGTGTGTGTGTGTGTGTGTGTGTGTGTGTGACGATGTGTATGGTGCGTATGTGTATGGCGCGTATGTGTATGTACGAGTGGCGAATCAGAGTGTGTTTGCGTAGGATGAGATTGCAGGCAGGCGTCTTGTCAGGTTTATAAACACTGTCGTGTCCTCCAAAGCACTTGAACTTCACACCGCAAAGTACAGAAACCCAAGGACATCTCTATACACAACTGACAGCCAGGCCTGGCTGGTAGGAAAAGGAAACTCACTACCCATTGAGAAGACACTGCCGTTTACAATAGCGGCATTTGGCTCGGGCAAAGACATCAGTGAGTGATTGTTTGGGCGATCAGGCCTGACACCTTTGCAAGACTCTTTGAACCGACTGTGGGGAGTAAGAGTTTGAACAATACAGCGCCGCTACCTTTACTTGATCAAATGCAGCAATATGATGTGACCATTTAACCCTGCCGTACACTGAACAGTGCCATTGGATGTATGGGAAGGATGCTGGAGGACAGCGCTGCACAGACTTGCTGAAGGTATTGACGTAATTGCATACCGAGCAATTTTTGGTCTGAATTTTGCTGATGACGCTCCCAGTAAGTGTGCAACGAAGTCATCGCGTTGCATAGCAGGCTTAGTACAATGTATCATTATCCGAACCTTCGTTCAGTCACTTACTCAGCTGTGTGGATCTTCATTGCCCTTTTGATGGGACCAACGGACGTGATTACTCAACTTTTTCTTTTTGTTGAATTGCCATCTTGACGTACTCGCTATGCTTGTTCACTGTGCCCTTGTATTCATGAACTGTTTTTGATTTGCAAATCACGTGCAAGTATCTGCAGTTTTTTACACTCCTGGCTTCTTTACATGGATTTAATGCAGCACTGTAGAACAGAAGAAATCCCATGAAACCCTATACATACCATGACCATTTTTACTGCTCTTTGAACGTCGTGTTGGTGTGCGGGCTTGTAATCAATAACGACAATAAAACTATTGTGTCATCGTCTTCTCTCTCCCCTTCTCAGGCTCCTGCTGGTATTGCCAAACCGGCCAACAGAGCTGGACATGCCCGGTCTCATTGACCTATCATACACAACAGAGCTGGCCATGCCCGGTCTCATTGATCTATCATACGTAAAGGTAGTGGTGCCTGCAGTGCATCTGCCAACAATATTGCTACTGCGTACTGGTGTCAGGTCAGAGCGTTGGACTACTTCAGTCTTGTTACAAGGCCGTAGCATGGTGATGTACATGAGTCAGTCTCACAAGATACAAGTTGTGTCTTGTGAGACTGACTTCTGTACATCACCATGCGGCTACGGCAGGGGAACCACTGAGGGCTACACAGTCTAATACATGCAGGTGTTTCACTACACTCAAGTGTATTGTTCTGATCTCACAGTAATAGACAATGCCCACACAGTGATGGACGATGGCCACATTGATACAAAAAAGCTCCAGTTGTTGACACAAAGATGAACACTTATGCCAATTTGTCATGTACATGTATTAGCAACTGAGAGGGTGCGTGATAACACACAGCAGGGATCACAACAGTGCTTGGGAGAACATACCCACACAATCCGTCTGCATAGCTTAAAAGAAAAGAAGCTATCAACTAGCAGAAGCAGCAGTCACGCATACATTAGAAAGCAGTGCAATTTATGTACAATACTGATTTGCATCACTAGCCATGCAGAAAACGGTTGGAGTATGGCTTGAAACAAATCCATTCTTGTGTCCACCAGATACAAAGCAATACATCCACCGGCATAAGGCAGAAGTTCTAGACTGGAGCATGCCAACCAGGTGCACGTCAGAAAGTGTTCGGAAGAAATGCTTACAGCAGGGGGGGGGGGGGGGGGGATGCCTCAAGGCATTACACCTCGACCAATCTGGTGGATGCCCGCTCATGACAACAGGGAGCACCGAGACGCACTGCTAGTCACCATCATCTTCAAAGTCACTTGCGTACTGATTTGAGCCATCATCATCGTCGTCGTCATCATCATCATCATCATCATCACTTTTATCCTTACCGCTATAATCGTGCTCAGCATTGGGGCCACTGTGTACATCGCCATCATCTCCATCATCCTCATCCTCATCATCATCCCCAGCATTCTCTGAATCGTCATCCTCATTATCATCCTCAGCATTCTCTGAATCGTCATCCTCATTGTCGTCTTCATCCTCGAACTCTTCACTTCCATAGCCGTTGTTCGGTTCATCAGCTCCGCTCACGTCACCATCACCATCGCTGTCGTCCCCGGCTAATCTATCAGCATCAGCTCCGCCGAGTGAAGAGCTGTCTGCACTGTCGTTGGCTCTCAGATCCAGGAACAGACCAGGCAGCTGCCTTTTGGCCAGCCACCGGCCGCACGGGAACACCACAGGTGCACTGCTTCCCAGCGTGAGCACCTTTCTCACCTCAATCCGATCAAGGTGCCAGTCAGCAGCCATGCCACTGTTGTCGTGAGCTATACGTAGCTTCAGCAAGCGTCCCAGCTGAGTGGCGGACTCCACTTTGAAGACATCCTCCTGAGAAGGACACATGCACAGCGGTAAGCTCCAATGTAAAAGAAGAATTCAGCCACAAAGTCAAAACCTCACCCAGCCAAAAGGATTGCACTTGTACACTGCGAGAAAGGAGAGAAACTACCAAGATACTCCAATCGGTCATCCCTCACGGTTCAGTTACATAATGAAGGAGCTCTGATGTACTGATGGTGTACAAATCGGGTTAACATACACGTAATTCAAAACCCCAAACACTTACGTACATTGTAAGTTTGTGTAAGTATGGATGTGAACGTCCTCATACCCAGATTACTGAATAGATTGGTAGGGCTGACTAGTTTTACCCCTTTACCAACTGTACAGGGTTTCAGCAAAACAATTGCCAATGTTCTAAACGGGGGGTGTGGTCTGTGCAGCTGTTCAACTTTACGGATCCTCAGACACTGACCTGGTTTCGTTCAAATTTGTTCTTGTGAGTCTGGGACTTCTTGAGCTGCAGCCTGCCCGATGTTGACCTCTCTCCAAAGAGCGTGATGAAGACATTGGCATCAGTGCCGGCACCGCGTACATCACTAGTGTGCACAGTGAGTTCATACGCCTCGCTAACATCACCGATGTCAACCTTCTGGCTGCTGTCCTTGCCTAGAAAGAAGGAAATCACAAAAAAAGGCATGGCGCTACAAAATGTCCAGATAACTAACCTTTCTCGCATTGCATGAACTACAGTCAACTTCGCTAATAACGACTGCGGATATAACGACAATTCGCGAATAACGACATAATTTTCATGCCCAGAGCAAAGTCCCATCCAACTGTGACACATATAATGAGACTTCGTGTATAACGACACTTCGCGAATAAGGACACTTTTCTGATGCCCCGCCGAGTGTCGTTATAAGCGAAGTTGACTATACACGCATGCCTTTACTGATAATATCAAAGTGACGAACTGAGCGTCATTCTACCGGTATTACCCGGAAAAACTGGCTGAAGTACTACAACATCAGCACTTACACTCTGTGCCGGTCTGATCAAGAAGCTGGCATTTCAAGTACTTACTGTCTTTGCCTGAGCAAAGAGGCATTTGCAGTGTGGAGCCGGATCCCCTCAACCAGCCATCAGTGTCCTTACAGCAGTACTCTATTCCACTGGCTGTGGCGATTCTGACCGTCTGAATACACACGTCAACACCTTTGGCTGGGCAAGGATGGAACAGGAGAGCAAGACATATACCAGGATATCGTGAGGACGACGTGTGTCAACATGACTGACTGTACTGATATGTGTAGTGAAATGCACTAGTCACATGACTGACTGTACTGGTATGTGTAGTGAAATGCACTAGTCACATGACTGACTGTACTGGTATGTGTAGTGAAATGCACTAGTCACATGACTGACTGTACTGGACTGGTATGTGTAGTGAAATGCACTAGTCACATGACTGACTGTACTGGTATTAGGCCTAGCCCAAATTTGCCGGCAATTCTTCCAGCAAAATATCGAATTTTCCAACAAAAAGAAATTGCTGGCAAATTCCGAGCAAAATATCGAATTTACAGAGGATCCGGGTGTGTTTTGGTAATTTTATTCAAATTTCGTTGGTTTCATTGGGCCAACGTCGTGCTGAAATAGCTCGTGCAGGTTGTCAGGGGTACATAAATTTGAAATCATGCTCCAAAATCCGTAATACTGACACCATTATAAGTTTTGCTTTCCTCGTCAGAGTCACCATCCACTTTTACCAAAGTAGACGGTTCATTCGAAGCCATTTTTGCCACAAAGCAGGAGCAAAATGGAGCAAAATATCGGAAACGAAAGGCAATGCCAAGCAAAATATGGAAAGTGATCGGGCAAAATTGGCAAAATATCGAAGCGCCCCGAGCAAATTTGGGCTAGGCCTAACTGGTATGTGTAGTGAAATGCACTAGTCACATGACTGACTGTACTGGTATGTGTAGTGAAATGCACTAGTCACATGACTGACTGTACTGGTATGTGTAGTGAAATGCACTAGTCACATGACTGACTGTACTGGTATGTGTAGTGAAATGCACTACAGTCAGTTTCAAAAAGATTAGCAATCCTGGTGATCGCCCGGGGAGTTTGCTGTCTTACCGTATGAGCGCCCGAGCGCTGCCTGGAAAAACTCACTGTGAACTCGAAGAAATATTCCGCGCGAAAGCTTGAAAAATGACAACTCACTCAGCCGATCAGGTCGATGTCGGTACAGTCGTGTACGTCTGGTTCACAACAAACGAGTTCTTCCTCGTATCGATAATGGAGTCAGAGAGGACATGTCGAAAGTGTAGTAAATGCCAAGGCTGATGAGCGGCATGGGTCCCAATATGTTTTGTGACCAAATCGTTTCTTTGAGCTGCGATGCAATTTACTCTCACCATGTGACGAAAACGACATCGACACAGACTCATTCCCGAGGCCATGACTTGGCGAAGCTATCCGTATGACTTCGACAACATTTTGAGAAAAGCAGACGCCTGTGGAAGCGGATAGAAGACGGCGTTGACTTCTAAATTCAAATAAATTGGCGAACTTGAAATACGAAAATAATTCTCAAAAAGAAATCGATCGATCGATGTGCCGGTGTATTCAACACGTAGCTACAGCGCAATGACTTCCGTATTCACTCACACCGTTTCAGTGTTGTGGGTGTGTTCACATGTTCTCCATTTCTTTCCTTGGCGCTGATAGGTGGAATTCTCTGCCTGTCTCGTGTCGTCAGGTTGAGCATCTATCCGTTTTTGTTTCGCTCTGTAAAGAGCACTTAGGGTTCCCTGTAACAAGACGGCAACGTCTGTAGGGCCTTCCCTATCAAAATAATAAATTCTACTACTACTACTACTACTACACATGGCGTGAGCCAGTCAAGTGTCAGTCAGTTCGGGAGGAAGCGGGAGCTCCAACAACAACAATCGTGAACAACAACAAGTCTGCTTGATCACCAAAAAACAATGAAAACAAGTGTGAGTTGAAGATAGGTTGGGATTTGAACTCACAACTTCATGGTCAGCAGACAGCATCCATAACCACAAGGCCAGAAAGGAAGAGATAAATCGTGGGTTTTAATAGAAATATCGATACTGGCTTCCAGGGCAAATTGCAAACCATGGGAAAAGGCCGGAAACCTGGCCGAAATTCTAACTCCTTAACGGCTGGTCCAATTGTTCCGAAACCTTCACAGAACAATTTGCCGTGCCCAAACCAGCCATTTTATGTACTTCGTTGTCCAATTTTCCCTTATCTTCATACCTTTTAAGACCAAAACCTGATTGCTAATCTTTTTGAAACAGACTATAGTCACATAACTGGCTGTACTGGTATGTGTAGTGAAATGCACTAGTCACATGACTGGCTGTACTGGTATCAAGAGTACATAACCAAGAGTGTGCAACTGCCTGCACAACCTCTATGCTGTGCTGCGACGGCAGAACTTCACATCACGTGACATGGTTCAAAAGGTTATGCTGGCAAACAGTGCAAATTTGCGCAAAGTGACCACAAGAGAGTTGTATCCAAAGCTGGGCTGCGTACAACCCAGTATCTATCATGCACTAGAGTGCACGGGTTCATCACGTGATGTGAAGTTCTGCCGTCGCAGACCCCATAGCTGGAGTTGCACACTCTTGGGTTATGTACTCTTGCTGGTATGTGTAGTGAAATGCACTAGTCACATGACTGGCTGTACTGGTATGTGTAGTGAAATGCACTAGTCACATGACTGGCTGTACTGGTATGTGTAGTGAAATGCACTAGTCACATGACTGGCTGTACTGGACCTACTGGTATGTGTAGTGAAATGCACTAGTCACATGACTGACTGTACTGGTATGTGTAGTGAAATGCACTAGTCACATGACTGACTGTACTGGTATGTGTAGTGAAATGCACTAGTCACAGGCTGCTCATCTTGGCCTGCCTTCAATCACATACTACACATGTGTGTCTTTGCTTACCATCCTGCTGTACCTTCACTCGCTTGATGTCCCCAAGGCTGATCGCTGAGAAGGTAAACTTGTTCGCCTGTAGAGATGGAACAGAACAATTCCAGAACAACCACACAGTAAAGAACTCAGCACTGCCTTGGGGAATCATGATTTGGTTTGGCACATAGATCGAGTGGTGATGGTGCTAAAATTTGAGATAGAAGTCTAATATTGGTTGCACATGAAAGAGTCTTGCAAAGGCTTCAGGCCTGAGTGCACTGGACAATTTGCGAATGGCGTCTGCTCACCTTGCCTGGATTCCACAAAGTCTTATTCTTCTTCGTTCTCCGTGCAGTAAGATGGCGCACTCCAGTATCGCCGCGTAGTCCAAAGACCTGAATGGAGATCTGGGGCTCATTTCCCGACGACTTGATATGAGCGCAGTGCAGCTCGATCGTGTACTCGACATCTATTCGTCGTAGAACACACGCACGCACGCACACACACACACACACACAAACACATACACACATACACAGATGCATGCACGTGCACACACACACACACACACACACACACACACACACACACACACACAAACACATACACACACATGTATGTCCATTGTCTTGGCTTTATTAAGTGAATGGTTGTCTGGTGACTTAAGTGTACGAGGAACAGCCCAAAAAAGCCACAGTCTTTACTCGAAGGCAGCCTAGAATTCACTCTCCAACATCCTGACCAATGTTGTTTAGCAAAGCAAGGTCCACAGTGTGATTACAGACTTTTACTGCACACACATGCTGGTTCACTGGTTCACTCACGTTGCAGAGGAGTAACACAGGCAGACTGGGCACACACATGCTGGTTCACGGTTCACTCACGTTGCAGAGGAGTAACACAGGCAGACTGGGCACACACATGCTGGTTCACGGTTCACTCACGTTGCAGAGGAGTAACACAGGCAGACTGGGCACACACATGCTGGTTCACGGTTCACTCACGTTGCAGAGGAGTAACACAGGCAGACTGGGCACACACATGCTGGTTCACGGTTCACTCACGTTGCAGAGGAGTAACACAGGCAGACTGGGCACACACATGCTGGTTCACGGTTCACTCACGTTGCAGAGGAGTAACACAGGCAGACTGGGCAGCGAGTTCCCGCACAACCTGGCCGTCCGCTGCCTGATCCTTGCACAGCCACTGGCCACATGGGAACGTGTACTTCGCCCCGCTGGTGAGATTTTCCATGCGGATCTGCATGCACGGGTTACCACCAAGATACCAGCCGATGGCAATGCGGCGTAATGATCAACATGACAGTGAAAGTACACAAGGCACCGTGACGTTAGGAGTACAGGCCATCCACACATGCATTTCATTTATAGACATTTGAGACAGGAATGGACATGTTTTCCAGCAGCGGCTGCCCGTGATGATAGCTAAAGAGGCAGAGCTTCAAATACATTTTTTACAAGAAGAGTGTGACACACAAAAACATTTGTGTCGCGTTCTAATAATTTAACTAGGACGAAATCAAACTTCAACCAATGATGTACTTGTACCTGTTACATGGGTCCCAACAGTACTCTGTGGACTCTGTGTACTCTGTGTACTCTGTGGACTCTGTGGACTCTGTGTACTCTGTGGACATTTGCCGTCGCAGACTAGCGGGCTATGGGAAACTGCGAAAGTCCAGTGATGGTAATATTGGGCAGATCACAGTATGCCCTACCTTATCCAAATGCCAGCCTGGAAACGGGTTGGCATTGTCATGGAAGACACGGAGTTTGTATGGCTCACCAACATCACCAAGGGCTACCTGCATGCAAAGCAAAGGCAACATAAATTACCGGGTATGCTTCTTTTCGAAATGTCGAGTCGGTTTCTACATGTAGGTATTTCAAGTCACGAAGTGATAATTCTAATTTACTGCAGAGAAGGAGATTGGGAAAGGCTGTCACTCTGTCCTGTTGCAAGTACTACCTACCACATGCAAGAAATCTATCAAGAACCAGTGATAAAGACTGGAGGGCCTGCAAATTATCATTCCGTTTCCTACATTAATATGTCTCACCTTGAACTTGTCCAGCTCCCCTCGTTCAAAGTTGTCTGCCTCGTTGTCAATTTCTACAACGGCAGAGATTCCACTATCGCCGTACAGCTGCAGAAAGACACGAGCATCTGTACCGGCATCGCGGACGTCACTTGTCCACACCCAGACTGACCACTGAGTTTCTGTATTGCACACGGACACAGCATACTGCAAAGTCATCACGAGTGCACACCCATGCACTGTACCATGATGTCACTGAGTGATCAGTATTGTATGTGATACGGCCTTGCGCTCATGCATGTCATTGAGTGATGATGTCACTGAGTGATCAGTATTGTATGTGATACGGCCTTGCGCTCATGCATGTCATTGAGTGATGATGTCACTGAGTGATCAGTATTGTATGTGATACGGCTTTGCGCTCATGCATCTATTATTTCGTGTATTCCGGTCCAATGACGAGGTGAATTGAATACAAGTCGCTAGCTCACGCTAGGAGCAGTCTGGAACACCCTCAGTGTACCACTATTTGCTTACCTCCGCTGTGAACTGCAGAGGATGCGTCGTATGATGCTGTGGAGTCATCAACTGCAAAGAGTGTCCGCTCTGTCGCTTGATCACCTTCCGCATCGTCCAGCCATTGGTTGCACATGAAATTGTAGGTTTTATTGGAGGAGATACTCTCTATTGAAACCTGGACAGATGGGGAAAAGAACATAGATGATAACTGAGTTTGATATAAACTTGGATGACGAGCGAGGGGGAGAGCTAGAAACAGAGCCTCGGGAGAATGGAATAATCCATTAAGGATGAGTAGGGAGACTAAAGATTGAAACGTTATAGTGCTGCGTGGTACGAAGAGTTTACACCGCATGAGGAGATCTTTGTTCAGTAGCAGACTGGCTGTCGTTACAAACCTTTTCTAGAAACCAGCCTGCGTTGAGTCCCTTGTTATCATGTCCAATAGTTATAGATGTGATGGGTTGAATGTGTTCATCCAGAGCCACGATAAAACTGTCCACTGCACCCCGTGCGAATAGAGTTCTCGATGATGCCAGCGAGCTGCTGCTGCTGCTGTCCACGATGTGATGGTCTTGATCTAGTGTGACCTGTAAGATCGCATGGAGAATGGTAACAGGACATGGTTTTGCAATGGTTCGGCTTGATAAACGTCCCAATGAAACACTCTGAGTGTGAGTATGATGAAAGACGTGAGAGTTCTGTACTGAGCCGAGAATTGCGAAGCCATGTTGACTAGATCATGATTCTTCAGTCTTAGGACTGTAGTTGCAGCCAACAACATCCTATCCTTCCTACAAGAGTTCCTACAGAATAGCTTGCTGGGTGTTGCTGCTGCCGCTGCTCATTCTGGTGTTGACTGGTGCAGCCGGTGTGCATTGTTAGAGTGACGGTAGCATCCGTGCCAGCAAATCGCTTGTCGCCTGTCCAGGTTGTTACCCGATAGAAATTCTCATTGACGTCCTCTGTGCGCAAGATGTGATTGTACGCACACATGTACACACACACACACACACACACACACACACACACACACACGCACACATACACACACATGCGCACGTGCACATACACATGTATACACATACACACGCATGGTGCAAAGTATACACACATAAGAGATCTTCGACTTTGCAGGCCCTTTTCCTTCATGTACAAGTAATGACAATACACATTGTCTATACTTATGTCCCACACGGAGGCGATGATATTATGTTTCTCCAGCTAGGACAAGCATGTCTGTGGCATTGGTAAGGTCCAAGTGATTCCCTCGGACACGTTTCACAATTGAATACACGCACAGCTTGAAAGTTGCTAGTCATCATAATGATATAATGCAACGCCGGCAGCTATGTTGATGTGATGACAAGCGACCCTAATAGTTACCTGCGGTTGAGCCAGGCTCCATGCAGCTAGCAGGATCGCTGCGGGATACAACTTGGCATGACTCTGCTTCCAGGACGCAAGACACCTGGCCGTCGCCCTCGTCCTTCGCCAGCCATCGCTTGCAGGGAAAGCGATAGAGCACATTGCCGACGGTGTCCTCTACTGATACCTATAGTTGAGTGCACAGAGTGAACACATGACCCCGCCACAGGTCCCATCTTGTCACAGAGTGAACACATGACAGCCACGGGTCCCATCTTGTCACAGAGTGAACACATGACCCCGCCACAGGTCCCATCTTGTCACAGAGTGAACACATGACCCCGCCACAGGTCCCATCTTGTCACAGAGTGAACACATGACAGCCACAGGTCCCATCTTGTCACAGAGTGAACACATGACAGCCACAGGTCCCATCTTGTCACAGAGTGAACACATGACAGCCACGGGTCCCATCTTGTCACAGAGTGAACACATGACAGCCACGGGTCCCATCTTGTCACAGAGTGAACACATGACAGCCACGGGTCCCATCTTGTCACAGAGTGAACACATGACAGCCACAGGTCCCATCTTGTCACAGAGTGAACACATGACAGCCACGGGTCCCATCTTGTCACAGAGTGAACACATGACAGCCACGGGTCCCATCTTGTCACAGAGTGAACACATGACAGCCACGGGTCCCATCTTGTCACAGAGTGAACACATGACAGCCACGGGTCCCATCTTGTCACAGAGTGAACACATGACAGCCACGGGTCCCATCTTGTCACAGAGTGAACACATGACAGCCACGGGTCCCATCTTGTCACAGAGTGAACACATGACAGCCACGGGTCCCATCTTGTCACAGAGTGAACACATGACAGCCACGGGTCCCATCTTGTCACAGAGTGAACACATGACAGCCACGGGTCCCATCTTGTCACAGAGTGAACACATGACAGCCACGGGTCCCATCTTGTCACAGAGTGAACACATGACAGCCACGGGTCCCATCTTGTCACAGAGTGAACACATGACAGCCACGGGTCCCATCTTGTCACAGAGTGAACACATGACAGCCACGGGTCCCATCTTGTCACAGAGTGAACACATGACAGCCACAGGTCCCATCTTGTCACAGAGTGAACACATGACAGCCACGGGTCCCATCTTGTCACAGAGTGAACACATGACAGCCACGGGTCCCATCTTGTCACAGAGTGAACACATGACAGCCACAGGTCCCATCTTGTCACAGAGTGAACACATGACAGCCACGGGTCCCATCTTGTCACAGAGTGAACACATGACAGCCACGGGTCCCATCTTGTCACAGAGTGAACACATGACAGCCACGGGTCCCATCTTGTCACAGAGTGAACACATGACAGCCACGGGTCCCATCTTGTCACAGAGTGAACACATGACAGCCACGGGTCCCATCTTGTCACAGAGTGAACACATGACAGCCACGGGTCCCATCTTGTCACAGAGTGAACACATGACAGCCACAGGTCCCATCTTGTCACAGAGTGAACACATGACAGCCACGGGTCCCATCTTGTCACAGAGTGAACACATGACAGCCACGGGTCCCATCTTGTCACAGAGTGAACACATGACAGCCACGGGTCCCATCTTGTCACAGAGTGAACACATGACAGCCACGGGTCCCATCTTGTCACAGAGTGAACACATGACAGCCACGGGTCCCATCTTGTCACAGAGTGAACACATGACAGCCACGGGTCCCATCTTGTCACAGAGTGAACACATGACAGCCACGGGTCCCATCTTGTAACACTACATGTGCTCTGGGGTTCTGTAGCGGGCACTTGTCGGGTGACAAGCACACACACACGCACACACACACACACACACACACACGCGCGTATGTACAGGTGCCTGCACGTCTTCGGACGGTGTTGGCAGTGGTGTGTACATCTCGTGTGCATCAGGATGACCAAGGCATGAACATGAACGCATGCACCTAATATTCAGGGTGCGCTTTCGGGAGTACTGCACAAAGCACTTATCGGAAAGAGCTTAACATGCCACCTCCAGCACACCACCCAGGCTACAAAGGTGAGAAGGGGGTGGGGGAAGGTCATATCCCCCCCCCCCCCCCCTCATGCATGGGCACGCAGCAAGCTATACAGCCCAAAATAATATAACATGTACGATATTACATGATGCATATGCTAGTGTATTGTAGTAATGGCTGGCATTAATTGCTTACACGGCTATTGCATAATACTGTCACCAACTCACCTCATCCAGGAACCAGCCTGGTCCGAACCCAGAATTGTCGTGACCAACAAAGATGCGATCAATAACGCCAAGCGAAGGACACTTCACGACAAATTTATCGACACTGCATTGCAGAAAGAAAATGCCAGATAGACTAGTGAGTAGTGAGTAGTGAGTAGTGTTAAGGATGGCAATCATACAATCATCATGTGCATAGGCTTGCCTGACCTTGGTCAAACTATACATCGGAGTACCTGGTCAAACTATACATCGGAGTACCTGGTCAAACTATACATCGGAGTACCTGGTCAAACTATACATCGGAGTACAGTAAATATCGGATATAACGTGCCCCTTTGATTTTCGAAAATGTATCACTATATCCGGTGCATCACTATAGCCGATTTGCATGTTTGACCGACACATGGCACATGCCTGCACGTGAAATGATGCGTACACGCTGGAAAAAGCATGCTGAAAGTGCATGCATGCTCCGCGGACTGTGTACCGGTGCATGACACAGAGCAGTGCATGGCAGTGCAGTACGAGTACAGACTGTACATGTACTAGAACTTCGATACATCATGTGGCATGGCTGCTTCTTCAGCGTGTTCTCCAAAAAAAGCCTGAGCTGGATCCGTACTCACGTAGATCTACTCGGTGTCCAACGAGTTGCGTAGAGCCAGAAATAGACATGAGTGGCTGTGTACGTGAGTTGGCAACATCATTGTGAGAGGCAACACAGCCAGAAACGGACAAGAGCATGCAGAAAGATCACTCTTGATCATTATATGCGATATTTTCCTGTACATTTGATATGGTTTGCTTCCTGAAGTCCATCACAATAAGCGATATATCGGTATAGCCGATAATAGTGTATATAGTGATATTTTAGCTGTATTTTTTCTGATTTGATTTTGATTTTGACGTGTTCTATCACTATAACCGGTATATCATTATATCCGGTCACTTTATAAACGATACTTACTGTACCTGGTCAAACTATACATGGGAGTACCTGGTCAAACTATACATCGGAGTACCTGGTCAAACTATACATCGGAGTACCTGGTCAAACTATACATCGGAGTACCTGGTCAAACTATACATCGGAGTACCTGGTCAAACTATACATGGGAGTACCTGGTCAAACTATACATCGGAGTACCTGGTCAAACTATACATCGGAGTACCTGGTCAAACTATACATCGGAGTACCTGGTCAAACTATACATCGGAGTACCTGGTCAAACTATACATGGGAGTACCTGGTCAAACTATACATCGGAGTACCTGGTCAAACTATACATCGGAGTACCTGGCCATATTCAACAGCTACCGTATTGTATTTCCCCGGCGAATACAAGTAGCACCTTCTTATACGTAACATTAGGGCCAACACAGGGGATGTGCCAACACAGGGGATGTGCCAACACAGGGGATGTGCCAACACAGGGGATGTGCCAACACAGGGGATGTGCCAACACAGGGGATGTGCCAACACAGGGGATGTGCCAACACAGGGGATGTGCCAACACAGGAGATGTGCCAACACAGGGGATGTGCCAACACAGGGGATGTGCCAACACAGGAGATGTGCCAACACAGGAGATGTGCCAACACAGGGGATGTGCCAACACAGGGGATGTGCCAACACAGGGGATGTGCCAACACAGGGGATGTGACTTACAACCAAACACGACTTACTACTGAAGTGAATATATTGAAATGATATGACATGGATCTGATAATGATAATGTGGGTGCGACTTTCAATTGAGTGCGACTTACAATAGGGGAAATACGCTACGCAAAACAGTCTTGATTTTGTCCATACCCTAGTGGCACATGTTCAGTTCTCCAGTAACGCTTCCCTCACCGTTTCCGCTCAAAGTTAGCCTTTGCATTCTCGAGAGGTTGCGGTCCGCTGTCGCCATGCTCACCGAACATTGTTACCATGACGTTGGCGTCGGTTCCTGCTCCGCGGCAATCTCCAGTTGTGGTGGTGATGATGTAGCTCTGATCCGCAGCTGAGCGAAAGAACGGACAGGAGCAAAAAAAGCAAAAGTCATCTATGAAGAGCAGCGATTGCTACAGTAAGGATGTTGTGTGTGTGTGTGTGTGTGTGTGTGTGTGTGTGTGTGTGTGTGTGTGTGTGTGTGTGTGTGTGTATGTGTGTGTGTGTCCCATATGGTGCAGCGGTATGTGCAGCGATTTCCAATCGATAGGTTGCGGGTTCGATTCCCGACGATTATGGTCACACACGTCTTTCTTCTCTTTCTCAGACTCTTCCTGACTTTTCTTTCATTCTCCTGGGTGGTTACCAACAGCCAGTGTATGCCGGAGTATGTGGTGTGATGTGTGTGCGGGAAAATAAATTTAAAAAAGACCAAAAAGTAGGGATTCACTGGCCAGAAAAAGCCACTTCATAGCTGTGTGGTGTAGACCAGGCTGAATAGTGGCGGCCAATTCTTCAGCCTTGCAAGCTGTTGAATGGTGCAATCCCAGCACAAGTTGCTATGGCTTCTGCTGTAGCATCGCTATCATCGCCTCTGGCGATGGGCGTCCAATGGTCCAATGGTGTGTGTGTGTGTGTGTGTGCGTGCGTGCGTGCGTGCGCGCGCGTGCGTGTGTGTGTTTCGTCGGCCGCAGGATATTGCGAGGCACAAGTGTAAGGGAGCATCTCATAAGTTCGCACTTTTTTTGTAAACGTAACGCATTTCGAATAGACTTTACCCCCCTACCTCCCCCCACTATTTGAAAGTCTTATCGCACATTTTCAGTGTAGATCTACTGTACATGTCCATGCCATGGTATGCACAATCATGTACAATGTTCATGTACATGGACATGGACGCTAGTGTTGAAGTGAATGACATTCAGTAGTACCACATCTACTGAGTACAAGTAAGTTTTAGTTACAGTCTTAGTTCAATCAATATGACATGTACACACACATAAACAGAGTTCCTCCACAACGACTGTACTGTCAAAGCTGGCCAGGTGGCAGGTACACGGTTTGATCAGGCTGGTGTGACATTTGACACCTCTGAGTAGCCTGCATGCGTAGTGCAAGGGTTAGATCTACTACACCTAAAACACACCGGTACCCTGCTGTCTGAAGCGGTCTAGCACAAGCACTAGCACTGTATTGTACACATCCAGAAAATGTGCGAACTGTCATTTTTCTATCCGAAATGGGCGCTACCCCCCTACCCCCGTTTCGAAATGCGTTACGTTTAGAAACAAAATGCGAACTTATGAGATGCTCCCTAACGCTGTTCGCGCGGCCCGCGCGCGCTGAGTATGGCGTTCCCCGCCCGGTGGACAACACGTCTCCTGGTCTGCCCCGTATGGGGCCACATAGCCAGTCATGGCAGTGGAAGAAGGAAGGAAGGAAGGTGTGTGTGTGTGTGTGTGTGTGTGTGTGTGTGTGTGTGTGTGTGTGTGTGTGTGTGTGTGTGTGTGTGTGTGTGCGTGTGTGTGTGTTCTGTAGAGTGTTTACATCTAACTAATGGACATGCAGATAACCTAGCTTGGGGTAAAGCATGCCTAGCTTGGGGTACAGCATGCCTAGCTTGGGGTACAGCATGCCTAGCTTGGGGTATAGCATGCCTAGCTTGGGGTACAGCATGCCTAGCTTGGGGTACAGCATGCCTAGCTTGGGGTATAGCATGCCTAGCTTGGGGTACAGCATGCCTAGCTTGGGGTACAGCATGCCTAGCTTGGGGTACAGCATGCCTAGCTTGGGGTACAGCATGCCTAGCTTGGGGTACAGCATGCCTAGCTTGGGGTACAGCATGCCTAGCTTGGGGTACAGCATGCCTAGCTTGGGGTACAGCATGCCTAGCTTGGGGTACAGCATGCCTAGCTTGGGGTATAGCATGCCTAGCTTGGGGTACAGCATGCCTAGCTTGGGGTATAGCATGCCTAGCTTGGGGTACAGCATGCCTAGCTTGGGGTACAGCATGCCTAGCTTGGGGTACAGCATGCCTAGCTTGGGGTACAGCATGCCTAGTTTGGGGTATAGCATGCCTAGCTTGGGGTACAGCATGCCTAGCTTGGGGTACAGCATGCCTAGCTTGGGGTACAGCATGCCTAGCTTGGGGTACAGCATGCCTAGCTTGGGGTAAAGCATGCCTAGCTTGGGGTACAGCATGCCTAGCTTGGGGTACAGCATGCCTAGCTTGGGGTACAGCATGCCTAGCTTGGGGTACAGCATGCCTAGCTTGGGGTATAGCATGCCTAGCTTGGGGTACAGCATGCCTAGCTTGGGGTACAGCATGCCTAGCTTGGGGTACAGCATGCCTAGCTTGGGGTAAAGCATGCCTAGCTTGGGGTACAGCATGCCTAGCTTGGGGTACAGCATGCCTAGCTTGGGGTACAGCATGCCTAGCTTGGGGTACAGCATGCCTAGCTTGGGGTAAAGCATGCCTAGCTTGGGGTACAGCATGCCTAGCTTGGGGTACAGCATGCCTAGCTTGGGGTACAGCATGCCTAGCTTGGGGTACAGCATGCCTAGCTTGGGGTATAGCATGCCTAGCTTGGGGTACAGCATGCCTAGCTTGGGGTACAGCATGCCTAGCTTGGGGTAAAGCATGCCTAGCTTGGGGTACAGCATGCCTAGCTTGGGGTACAGCATGCCTAGCTTGGGGTACAGCATGCCTAGCTTGGGGTACAGCATGCCTAGCTTGGGGTAAAGCATGCCTAGCTTGGGGTACAGCATGCCTAGCTTGGGGTACAGCATGCCTAGCTTGGGGTACAGCATGCCTAGCTTGGGGTACAGCATGCCTAGCTTGGGGTATAGCATGCCTAGCTTGGGGTACAGCATGCCTAGCTTGGGGTACAGCATGCCTAGCTTGGGGTATAGCATGCCTAGCTTGGGGTATAGCATGCCTAGCTTGGGGTATAGCATGCCTAGCTTGGGGTATAGCATGCACAGAGCAAACTGCACAAGCACATGTACTTCAGCTTGTCACAGTCTCTTGCATTTTCTGCAACACACAGCAGCGCATCTACTCACACGCCTCAGCAGCTGCAGGTTCACTTGCTTCTTCGCTGGGCAGGAGTTGTCGGGTGACCTCACCATCTCCTGTGTCCCGCGCCAGCCATTGGCTGCATGGGAAGTCATACTCAACCGTGTCCTCCAGCTCTTGTCCTTCGATGCCCGGATCAGATATCTGTACCTGTGACAATTTACAAGCCCGGAAAATCTATGATCAGTACTGGTACTCTGAGCTGATAGGGTGATAGTCTGCATTGCATGAGCTGAAACAGGTGCTCTGTGGCTACCAATCCCAGTGCTACAACGAAGTACATGAAATACAGAAGCCAATTTTCCCAGAACCATGTTATTGTGTTCAGTGTTGCTGCATCTGCAAGAATATTTGCGCGGCTCTCAACAACAAAAAGAAAAAGAATAAAGCGGGATTCACAGAAGCTTTTTTGCGATGCGACACGCGATGCGACGCGATCTGCGATGGATGCGTGCGATGCGAACTCGCGAAATACCATTCACAGAAGAAGTCAGCTTTGCGACAAAGTCTTGCAGATTTGGCTACGTCACCATGATATTCGCGCGGTTTGATACAACTTGTACAAATTTATAGGCAACTCTTGAACCTTTGTACAACTTTGCTGTAGAAAAGGTCAAAATCGTACGCCAAATCGCTTGTCGCATCGCAAAAGTTGAGCCAAGCTCAACTTCTGCGATGGCCTGCGATGGCCCAGTTGCGTCAGTTGCGTGGGGTCCGCGATGGTTGCGATTTGGGGATTTCCCGGTTTCGCGGCTGTCGCATCGCGTGTCGCATCGCAAAAAAGCTTCTGTGAATCCCGCTTAAGACACTTTTCATGGAAGATCAGATATGTACACTACAGCTAACCGGCGTTAGACATGATGTGGAAACTACCTTTTGCAGAAACCATCCTGGCCCAAATCCGGTATTGTCATGCTCCAATCTGTGATCAACAAAACAACAACACAGCGGCAAGAAACAAAATGTCCAGCCTCCAGTAGAGAGCACGAAAGTTCACAAAAATTATACCTGCTGTGAGCGCAGCTAGTTGAGCACCTGTACTGCAACTCATTGGCGTAATGCTGCATGTACTAGCGATCCACTCCGACAATTTTGGTGGGTGCTTGAATACGCACCTTCGACGGAAAAACACCCATGCCGCATACATCCACAAGCGGTGTATGACATCCCAGGCATATGTGGCACTCCAGGTGTGTGTGTTCAGGTGGAAATAAAGTGTTTATTAAAAAGTGTCATCTCACAAATCATAACAGGAGTCTTACGCAGACTAACTCAGTTTTCACAGAAAGTTTTCTGTATTCGTGCCATCAACAGTCCCATTCAACACCAACCTCAAGACTCAAGACTCAAGACTCAAGACTCAAGACGCAGATGCAGCTCAAAAATAGGTGGGTTGGTGTTGATCACACCAATGATTTCGAAGACATGATCAAAATTCTTCGTATCCCTGTCCCCCAGTTGCCAGGTCATGAGTTCCAAACTATGTGCGCCACCGTCCAGCCTAGCCAAAAAATACTTCGTCTTCCACTGAAGCAGAATGGAGCCTAGTGTCATTCACTTATTCAATGCAAAGTCTCCACTTAGATGGGTCCATTCCTTCGTGCATGCAAGAATGTTCTGCTGGGTCTCGGAAGTGGAGATGACCTAAGCTAGGAATGGAGAATGCATGTTGTCTGTCATGTCTACCTGCTGCGTTTCACACTCATGGTAAAGATCCTTACATGATTGAGGAGATCCTACCGAGTCGAGTAGCTCTCATGCGGAACACTGACACAGCACTGCGGTTGAAATTGTTACTCTTCCTACAGAACAAGAGCAGCAGCAGCACACACACACACACACACACACACACACACACACACACACACACACACACACACACACACACACACACACACACACACACACACACACACACACACACACACACACACACACACACACACACACACACACACACACACACACACACACACACACACACACACACAGCATCACATGCACTGGTAGTAGAATCTGGAGAACTGCAAGCAATGGGTAACCAGTCCGCTTGGCCATGAACAGATATCATTGAACCGAACAGCATTCTTTGGAGTTGGGTGCGATAGTTAACCATTAGAAAGAACATACAGCTCGCGCTCGTGTATCTTACCCGTTCAACATTTGTGTTTTTGGCGTCGCTCCTCTCTCCCCGATCAGTGTCACAAAGACGTTTGCGTCCGTTCCGCCACCTCGCACATCACCCGTACTGACTGTGATTTCATACACTGCACAGAACAAAGAGATACCACGTGCACAGCATTTTCTGTGTTCAAAATATTTAATTTGTACGAAAGCAGGAAGGTTATGGTTTATATGAGAATCATGTCGGTCGGTCAGACTGACTTTTCCACATCCACAAGAATCGGCCATCATAAGGATCCAGGTGCCGATGCAGCTCCAAAAGCGGTGGAAGGCGAGCGTATCAGACGCCATTAAGTGGTTTTAAGGACTGAAAAGTCCACTCACTGCATCCATGTTACCTTCATGCCGGGTCACAAGTTCCCAATGCGAGTGTATGTCTCAGCACACAAAGATCTAATTAACGGCTGTGAAGTACTGTGCCCAAGGTTTGGCAAAGTCATCTCTGCTATACATACATAAGACTGACTCATGGAATTAGCTGCAGAGCCTGACTTAGTCATCCTGTGCTGCGGTTTGGTGACCTGGCCAAATCTGCTTGAAGTACAGCTGTGGCCAACGAAATCCAACGCACGTGCCGAAATCAGCGCCAAGGCTCATGCGACCACTGCGGCCCTCGGATCAGTGTAGGGAACATAGATGATGTAATTGAAATGGAAACGCGGCGCTGCTTTTGACTCGTGGGTCGGACTCTTTTGGCCCCGACTGTGCCATGTAACCCATACAACAAGTCAAGAATGTTTGTGGACCAGGTGATTTCCCCCTTGTGTCAAATATTGAGTAGCGGGAATTTGTCCAGGATACCTGTGTTACAGTCTAGCTTTTCTCCCGTGTTAACAAACATTCGTGTTACATGTGTTTGTGTTGAGCGGGGTCCACTGTGATGAAGGGTCAATGTAGATCTACATGACTGTTATCAATACAAGCCGCTCAGTCAGCTAACCAGTATACTCAGTGCTTTGCTTGACAGCAGTGTGGCCGGTGTGTCTGGACTGGCCAAGCCGACTTGCGTCATTCTTCGATGGCGTTGCCACGCTGTTGGTGGGCCGCAGATCCCGCGAGATGTGACAGTCGGAGTGGAACAGCGACAGCCACCGGTTGCAGGCGAATCTCCAGCGCATGCCCGTGCTGGTGTTTGTGATGAAAACTTCCTGCAGGTACCAGGCGTGCTTCTCCGACAGTCCATCGTGCTGCAAACACCCACGCAGTACACTGCTACAGTACACTATTCTGTTCAGACAGGTGAACGTGCATTAAATTATTAAAGGGGAAGTTAAGGCAAAAATCAAAATTTCACCAGTTGTAGTCTTCGGGGTGCTGAGTCGAATGGTCGTGGTCCGAGGAAGCTGAGACGCTCCCTTCCTACTCTAATCCCAAACGAACTCGCGCACTTCCACCGAAACTGGGTGACTGTACCCTACTAGATGGGGATTTGTATGCAAAATGTCACTAAAAGCGCCATTTCGTTCTTATAAAAGCACGGATGACCGCGATTGGCCCATATGTTGTAGTCTTTTTGACGCTGCGTCGACTGGTTTTGGTCCGAGAAAGCTGCGATGCACCGTTCCTCCTTTATTCCCAATCGAACATGGCTGAACAAGCGGTCACGTGCTCCTGGGTGCCCAAATCACCTGGTCACCGCGCCAGCAGGCGACAACTTTCGCACCAAGGTTCAACTCGAGTTCAACTCGAGTGACAGGACTGTACCCAAAAAAGTTCAAACAGGCTAGTAAGTTGTACCCTGCAGGCACCGTGACCAGGTGACTGGTGTACGCAGGAGCACGTGACCGCTTGTTCAACCATGTTCGATTGGGAATAAAGGAGGAATGCTGCATTGCCGCCTTTTCGGACCAAAACCAGTCGACTCAGCGTCCAAAAGACTACAACATATGGGTCAATCGCGGTCATCCGTGCTTTTATAAGAACGAAATGGCGCTTTTAGTGACATTTTGCATACACATCCCCATCTAGTAGGGCGCAGTCACCCAGTTTCGGTGGAAGTGCGCGAGTTCGATTGGGATTAAAGTAGGAAGGGAGCGTATCAGCTTCCTCGGACCACGACCATTCGACTCAGCACCCCGAAGACTACAACTGGTGAAATTGTGTTGCCTTAACTTCCCCTTTAAAGTCGCACCCCCCCCCCCCCCTCCCTTTTCAGGTCTGCCATATCATTTCAGTATACTTGAAGTGCCCACTTCAGCAGTAAGTCATCATTCCCTTTGTTGGCCCTGCATTTAAAAAAAATCTAAAATGGTGCAACTTATGTTCGGTAAATACCGCTCATTCAACAGAGATGAGATACCTGCTCAGTTCTTGTATGTTATGGCTATCATGCATCCCTGCACTTTGGTGATAATTTGGTGATCATTTGCTCCATTCCAAAATTTACCAAGTCAAAAGTACTGAACATGGCTGTATGCCCAAAGTACACACGGCAAAAAAACGAGCCCTAGCGGGCCAACACATATACCAACCACCTAGCGACCATCGGCCGATGCCCGTCCATTCCAGGGCACTAGCACCAGTCCGGCCTATTTCGAAAAGGTTGACTCGCCCAATTTGTACACACCGGTACATTCCGATCTAGGGTTGAACACCAGGCAGTCCCTGGCTGAAATAATGTTCACTTTCTGTTCAAGTATCTCAGTTGGCCTGATCACCTGAAACCCCGTTACTACTACAGCCCTGTGCTCACACACAATTCACGGTTCACCAGACTTAACTCACACACTATTCACGGTTCACCAGACTTAACTCACTTCAATGGTAAGAGAGCAGAGCTCGCCAATGTCGGGGCCCTGCAGGAGAAACACGCGCATCTCGCCGCGCGGGAACATGAACTTCTCGTTGGCATCGATCACTTTTCCACCATCATCGTCGGCATCGTCTACCATGCTTGGCGTCCAGAGTCGACGCTTGCTAAGCTTGCCATGCGTGCCATGCAGAGCGATGAATACCTGAGCAGAAAACAACCAGATGAGTGTCAATGTAGATGCATCAGTGCAAACCGTCTTCAAAGAAACAGGGCCGGCCCGTCCTAACTGTAACACCATGTCAGGGAGTTTTCAATACTTCTGAAGTACACTGTACATGGATTGGTTGGTGGAGAATGTCAGAACCTTGTATTGAAAAGAACTGCTGCAACACAGTAGGTCATCATAGACATTAAAGAAAGATGAGCATATATCACATGGATAGGAATCAGCATAACGTCATGACTTCACCCATACCCGTGCCGTTGTGCTCGCTGCCTTCTTATCGCCGGTGTGGATTTCGATCCGATAGACGGTCTTGGGGCGCGACACCATCGTCCTGCCGAGCAGCGCCGCCGTCGTGGGCGTGACCGTGGACTTAGCGTGCTGCTTGCTGGAGGAGAGATGTGAGCATGGTGCCGTGAGCGGGCGCTTGTGAGTCGATGCCAGATTGGCTAGGTATGGCGAGGCATGACTGGAAAGATACGGAAACAAGACAACACATGAGCATAGTACACGTTTGATCAAGCCTGCACTCGTATCACGGTGGATTGATCAGATTATAAGTATGTTACAAGTAGAGCACTCTGATTTTGATGCTTTGAGGCTGTGTGAATATGCTTTGTTGCTCACTAGGCTTAGTTCCGATCGGTTCATCCAGTCACTCTGAGCTCGGCTGATGAAGCGTACCGACTCGTCGAAGCAGCAAAGCAGCTAGCTGTACGGAGCGGAGATTGACTAACGCATATGACTAACGCACAAGTACAGTCAACTTGGCTTATAACGACACTCGGCGGCGGGGCATCAGAAAAGTGTCCTTATTCACGAAGTGTCGTTATACCCGAAGTCTCATTATATGTGTCACAGTTGGATGGGACCTTGCTCTGGGCATGAAAATTATGTCGTTATTCGCGAATTGTCATTATATCCGCAGTCGTTATCAGCGAAGTTGACTGTACCTGCACAGTTGTGCTTGGTAGAATACAAGCCAAGGGCCAAAGCTGGTTGTTCACTGGACAAGTTCTCATTGCATCACTGTACGCAGTACGTAGATTTATAATGTGCCGCCGCGTGCGTACGTCCAGCAGCATTAACAGCAGCATTAACAGCAAGTCCAGGTTGCCGAGGGTCGTTCAAGTCCAGGGCGCCAAAATGATACCGCAGTGTCTTGTAACACTAGTATAGCCTGTCTCGCATAGAAGCCTGTTTCGAATACAAACCTGGTTTACAAGATACACTGTGCGGCTGAGCAGTGCATACGACTTGTTTTAGTGTTGACATACATACGAGAAGAGATGCCTCATGTGAATAGAAGCCTAGCCCTGACATCGGCTTCCACAGGAAAAAGCCCGGCTTCAATAGGCGATAGTACGGCATACACTTCGGGTTGGATGTCACTTAGCACAACAACACAATCATGGATATGTACATAGTTGAATCAAGTGAAAGCCTGAAGAAGAAGTCACATACATTTTTGCAGCTCCTCCTTTGTCCGAAAACTTGCGATTGAAGTAGGAGTTGAGATGTGGGTCAGCAAACGAACTGTACGGTTGTACGATGGGCGTTCTGTTGTTGCTCGTTGTCTTGTTCGGGGCTACCGGAAAACAGAACAGAGGACCACGGAGCAATCTACGAAGCAATCTCTTATCTTCCCGTAAGCTACTAAATAGACACAGAACTGCGCAAGTGTCACATGTATAATTCAGTGTACATCCATCAACATCGCCAATCACATTCTCTGATATTTTCTATAATAAAACACGCCCAGTAGCAATGGGAATGTGATTGCCTTGGTTCGACTTCCATTAATGCTTATGATAACAACACAACATGAGACCATAGCATGTGTCGCTGTTCTTCAACACTCGTGTGATGCTAACGTGAATCCAGCTAATCAACCATGAAGTTAACTTAGTCCACATGTACCTGCACTGGATGGAGCAGCGACAGTCCGTGCGGCGTATGGTGTGGCAAGCTTGCTAGCTGTCGATGTGTGGTTCAGCTTGACATGGAACTTGCGCTGCTGATGCTTCGGTGCCGTGTACGTGGATGATTTCCACGTCGGCTGACTACCGTGGCTTGCCATGTTGTTGTTGTTGTTATTGTTGTCGTCACTGCAGCGGTGTTTTTAGGTAGCAGTCACCAGTCAATGTCTCACTCGCATGGGCAATGCCATAGCTGAATCAATCGCAATAGTGAAAACAAAAAGAATATAATTATGTACATGTAGTTTGAGCAAACATACTCGTGTGTGTGTGTGTGTGTGTGTGTGTGTGTGTGTGTGTGTGTGTGGTGTGTGTGTGTGTGTGTGTGTGTGTGTGTGTGTGTGTGTGTGTGTGTGTGTGTGTGTGTGTGCAGTCGACGGTGGCTACAGACTTTGAATATGCCGATGATGCTGTGCTACTTGCGTGTTCTCATCGTGCTGCTGAGGACTGTCTAGTTGTTTTCTATGACGTAGCGGCTTCGTTTGGCCTGTCCGTAAGCATTCCCAAAACGAAGTTTTTCGTTGCGGGTCATTTTGCTTCTGAGGCGGATTGTGCCCCCATCCTGGTTGCTGGCGACCAAGTCGAATGTGTACCGTCTTTTGTATATCTTGGTAGCGTCATCACACCTGACACCAGATCCTGTCACGACGTCGCTCGTCGCATTGCTAACGGCGCTAAGGCATTTGGTGCATTGTTGGAGGTGTTCTGTGATCCCACATTGTCTCTGTCTACCAAGAAACATTTGTATTCTGCCTGTGTAGTGTCCATACTGCTGTAGGGTGCTGAATGTTGGACCCCACTCCAAGCCGACCTCAGGTGTATCGACACTTTCCACCATCGATGCTTGCGGGCTATCATTGGTGTGTCCAGAACCGCTCAGTGGAACGAACACATCACCTCACAGCAGCTGCGGGATCGCTGGGGAGATCCCATTGCGCTATCTGAGAAGATCCGGCATCGGCGCCTCGAATGGCTTGGTCATGTTGTACGCCTTGAACCTGAGCGTGCGCCGCGACAGCTCTTGTTTGGGTCCCTGGAAACGACCCGGCCTGCCCATGGTCCTCGTCGGCGCTGGAAGGACGTGTTCCGTGTTGACCTCCAACATCTTCCAAACTGGTTTGACGTGGCCTTGGAGAGGTCTGAATGGCGCCAGTTTGTGCACACACCACCTCCACCGAACCCAGCACCTGCTCGCGTGGAATGCACCGTATGCCGCAGAACATTTGCAAAGCCGCACTACATGGCTCGTCACAAGTGTACCGCTGAGAAGAGGATGCCTATCCATCTCCAGCGTGGTGCACTCCAATGCGATATCTGCAGCAGATGGTTTGCCAGCGCTGGAGGCCGTGCTGTCCACAAGTGCACCCGCAGTACGATCGGCACCCAAGCTTGCCCGCCCTCGTCTAGTCGAGAGTCGATTCTCCTGGACAGTGGCAAACTCCAATGCTCAATGTGCCAACGCCAGTTTTCGCCATCCGGTTTCAAGCGGCACAAATGCAGCCGTGGCAGTCGCCCTACTTGTAAACAGAGGGAAACTTTCGAATATGAGTGCCGTCTCTGCAAAAAACGTTTTCGGCTTCCACGAGATCTCAACCGGCATGTGGCTCGCCAGCATTGACTCTCTTACCCTGACTCTGGCTCCCTGTTACAAGGGAGTGACGTGGCCCTATGGGGCAGTCATGCTATAGTAGTAGTAGTAGTAGTGTGTGTGTGTGTGTGTGTGTGTGTGTGGTGTGTGTGTGTGTGTGTGTGTGTGTGTGTGTGTGTGTGTGTGTGTGTGTGTGTGTGTGTGTGTGTGTGTGGTGTATGTGTGTGTGTGTGTGTGTGTGTGTGTGTGTGTGTGTGTGTGTGTGTGTGTGTGTGTGTGTGTGTGTGTGTGTGTGTGGTGTATGTGTGTGTGTGTGTGTGTGTGTGTGTATGTGTGTGTGTCTACAAATGGATCAATGAAATGGCTAGGAAATCTCGCTAGGACGTTGATGCGACACAGCGCATCAACCCAACTCTCCATGTCTGTCGGCCCCTCACACGAGGGGACGTGTAACCGGAAACAGCAATGTTCAGGACAGGACAGGACAGGTGTGTACATGTATGTGTGTGTATGTGTGTGTGTGTGTATGTGTACGTGTATCTGTGTGTGTGTGTTCCGTCGTCCTGGTGACCTCAAGCGGCATGCGCCATACTGCAGATTTCGGATTTAGAGCCTCAGCGTGAGGAAGCCATCGCTATCATTGCTACGGCAATGGGCGTTCAAGGTGTGTGTGTGTGTGTGTATCTGCGTGTATATGTGTGTGTATATGTGCGTGTGTGTGTGTGTGGTGTGTGTGTGTGTGAGTGCGCGTGTATGTGTGTGTGTGTATGTGTGTGGTGTGTGTGTGTGTGTGCGTGTGTGTGTGTGTGTGTGTGTGTGTGTGTGTGTGGTGTGCGTGTGTGTGTATCTGTGTGTAGGTGTGTGTGTGTGTGTGTGTGTGTGTGTGTGTGTGTGTGTGTGTGTGTGTGTGTGTGTGTGTGTGTGTGTGTGTGTGTGTGTGTGTGTGTGTGTGTGCGTGTGCACGTGTATCTGTGTGGTGTGTGTGTGTGTGTGTGTGTGTGTGTGTGTGTGTGTGTATCTGTGTGGTGTGTGTGTGTGTGTGTGTGCGATTCAATAAAGCAAATACATGTACTGTACATTGTAGAAGAGAGTCATTGCCACTTAGCAGACCTACTGACGTGACGTCCACTACATGGCTCTCGTGGCTCATGGCTATCACCGTGGGAAGCATTGTCAGTGCGTGCCATCTGATACTGGATGGTCCCATTGAAACATCTGATACTGGATGGTCCCATTGAAACATCTGATACTGGATGGTCCCATTGAAACATCTGATACTGGATGGTCCCATTGAAACGTCACTACATCTACATCTACATGTACATGATTGTACGTATAGAATCAAGCATGGAAGGAAGGGCTTGGTGGAAAATTCATGCCCGCGTGTGTACGCTCGAGGGCTTGCCCGAGAGCGTACACACAAGGGCATGGAGTGCCCGAGTGCGTATGCCCGAGGGCTTGCCCGAGGGCTACGCACGAGGGTACGCATTTTCCATCAAGACCTTCCTACCATGCTTGATTGTGTTTCAAACATACCGCATACATCAACAAGCAAACACCAATCACCGATCAGCACGTCCTGATAACGTCCGGAGCTGAAAATGGGCACGGGGGCATGAAGGTATAAAAGCGAGACTCCTCTAGGGGTGGTGGTCGGGGACGTGGAGGATTCAGCTTGTTAATTTCAGCTCCGTACGCTCGAGGGCTTGCCCGAGAGCGTACGGAGCTGAAACTTCACCTTGCTCGAGATGAAACTAACGGTTACTTCAGAACGAAACTTCACCTTGCTCGAGATGAAGCGAACAGTTACTTCACAACGAAACTTCACCTTGCTTCAGCTGAAACGGAGCTGGAACTTCAGCTTGTGAGTTGCAGCTCCCAAGCCCTTGAGCGTACGGAGCTTTAGAACGAAACTTCAGCTTGTGACTGTGAGTTTGCCCGAGAGCATACGGAGCTGATACTTCGTGAGCTGAAACTTCAGAACGAAACTTCAGCCGTGCGCTCGAGGGCTTGCCCGAGAGCGCACGGAGCTGGAACAGCTGGAATCCGAACATGGAAAACTGACCCCGGTGATTGCCACTTTACTTACTTTGGCTTGCTAAGTTCAGAACAGATAGATAGGTGCATGCTCTTTTATTTCGCTTACCAGAGCAAGTAACGTCAGTTCACAGTCGAATGTACACATGGTACATGCGAACTGAGCTAACAGTGACAACGAAAAACTGCCAGTGCCACAGACCCTTGCCGAGCTACGCTGATAGATGGCACCATAGCCTGGCATTTGCATAGCAATTAGCATGCATGCAGGGCATTGGATGTCACCGTACTCCGTAGCATGCTAGCACAGTAGCAGGGCATTGCCATGCCGTAGTCCAGGCAATACACACAATTTCTGCCCTGGTACAAGTCGATGCTGATTGGCCGTCGGATGGCAACAAGCACGTGATATGTTTGAAAGACTAGTCAGTCATGCAATCGTATTCTGATACTATTCTTACATGACAGCGAGAAGTTGGACGAGTCTGCTGGCGATTGCGATTCCTTTGCGAGCTCCCCTGGCTGTGATTGATGGGCCGCTGGTGGATGTACGTGTACTGATAGCAGCACATTTACTACCGGTATACGTTCAGCAGCTCCAGTTGCACTATTCTATAGGAGAATCATGAACACATACATGTACATGTGGCCGCGGTGATGTACTCTCAGTCTTCATGGTCTTGGCAGAACGGTATTGCTAGCGACACTGCACATGTACCGTACCCGCTACATGTAGTCCTTACCCACACTGACACCTTGTATCGCTTACCCACACTGACACCTTGTATCGCTTACCCAGTGGCAGTCTCGGCCTGGCGAGGATCTCGACTTGGAAGTAACTTAGTTGCGATTTATGTCGTTTGAGCATTCCCAAATCTCGACTAGGTACAATGCAGGCGCGTTGACGGGGTTCACATACGCGAGCACCAGTAATGACCAATGCAGGACCTTGGACGAAACAGCTACTGCTTTTGTCCCCGTGGCAGTCTGATGACTGTGAAAAGAACAGCCGATCTCTCGGCTTCAGTATAGTACTCAGTGATCTTACCTTTTCGAGGCTCTACTTTTTTTACTGAGGAGTCACCATGGTCACAGTGGCTGAATAGTTTTCAGCGAGGATCTGGGACTTCTTGCCTTTGCCTTTTTTTTTTGCTTTGGTGCCAGAGCTGGTCACTGGCGCCAGTAGCGGCAGAGTAGAGTTTGTATGACTCCCTGTAGCTACTACTACTACTACTACTAGTACTAGTACTACTACCATGACTACTACTACTAGTATTACTACTAGTACTAGTACTACTACTACTACTAGTACTAGCTGCAGTATACTAGTAGCTGTGTACATTTTGTAGTGGTGGTGGCCCGGCCGTGCCGGCCGCTGAGTGTGATTATTTTTGGCAGTTTACTACAGTTTGTATCCCGATCTAAAAAAACCCTGCTTCAACATGTACAGTGTACTTGTCTTTGTTTGTATCAAGAGTACATGAAGGATTCTAGTTGTCATGCCAGCTGGCAGTCAAAGCAACGCAGCATGACGTCATCGTTGCGTTCGCACCTGAAAAACTCAAAAAATGAAACGTTCGAAAGACGAAACCCATTTTCACACAAATGTTTGAAAGCTTCCTTCTCTTGCATGCTCTCTGGTTTATTGTGACATTGTCACCGTGATTGTTGTCTTTGCAACGGTTTACGTGGGTAGATTGTTTGCTTTGCCGTTGGGAGCCTCATCTCCCTGGCAGAATGGACGAAACAGCAAGCGAGAAAAGAGAGCGCAGGCTCAGGAAAAAAGAGGAAAAGGAGAGAAAGAAGCGAGAGAAAATAGGTTGGGATAAGGAGCTCATGGGCTACACAAATCAAGACAATCCGTTTGGAGACGGCAATTTGCTGGATCCTTTCGTGTGGCATAAGAAACGTGAGCAAGATGGATACGGACATTTGGATGCTGAGCTGCAGTCTGAGAAAGATAAACATAGGATTCTGGAGAACAGACGTGAGCTGGAGAAGGTCAAGCAGCGACGCCAAGAGAGAGAACTGGAGCAGGCCGCGAGAGAGGAAGAGATGCAAATGATGCAGCGTGAGAGAGAGGCGGAAATGTTCAAGGAATGGGAGGCACAGGAGGACACGTTTCACTTGGAGCAGGCCAAGCTTCGCTCTAAGATCAGGATGAGAGACGGCCGCTCGAAGCCCATTGATTTGCTGGCCAAGTATGCTGACAGCATGTGGGAGATGTCTGAAGAAGCTCTGGATGAAGTGGATGTGAATGAACCCTACACTGTCCTGAATGGCCTGGCTGAGCAGGATTTGGAAGATCTGCTGGAGGACATCAAAGTCTATGTGGAGCTGGAGGAGGGCAAGAACCTAGACTTCTGGAAAGATATCACAACCATAGTGGAGGAGGAAATTCGCAAACTTCATGATGCCGCGAAGGAGGAGAATCAGCGACAGGTTGTCAATCGTTCGGTCAAGGGTGATGTGTCTGCTGTATTCCAGGGCAAGAGCTATAAACAACTGAATCTGCTGAAGCAACAGATTGCACGCAAGATTGGTGCCAAGGAAGGTGACATCAGCTACTGGGAGCACTTGCACAATCAGCTGAATGCCGTAATGGCCAAGGCACGCTTGCGTGAAAACCATCAGAAAGTGCTGCAGATGCGTCTGGAGCAGCTGCGCTCGCGTCAGTTGGAGGAGCTGTATGTTGCCCCTAGTGACATGGGCGCCGGTGAAGGAGAGGATGATGATGGTGAAAAGAAAGATGGCAGCACTGCGGCTGGTCGTCGACCTGCCACCGGAGATCAAGCTGCTGATGATGACGAAGGTCTGGACTATGACGCGGTAATGTACAGTCCTAAATTCGTGCCCGCGTCTGAAGCTGAAGCTAGCTTGAGCATTGTTGATGAGATGGCAGACCAGCAGATGATTGCTGAAGCGCGCCATGAGGTGGCTGCCAATGCCAACAGCAGCAAGCAAGAAGAAGAGCACATGCGCCACACCGCCAGCAGGGACATGGAGCCAGGTGAAGCAACGTTCAACGTGCAGGTGCCTGTGGAGAATACCAGCTTCCTATGGCAGAGCAAGTATAGGCCGAGAAAGCCGCGCTTCTTCAACCGTGTTCATTGTGGATTTGAGTGGAACAAGTACAATCAGACCCATTACGGACACGACAATCCGCCGCCCAAGGTTGTGCACGGATACAAGTTCAATATATTTTATCCGGATCTGATCGACAAGCGGAAGGCACCAGAGTACAAGGTTTTGCAGTCAGAGGAAGGCAAGGACTTCTGCGTCATTCGCTTCCATGCTGGACCTCCGTATGAGGACATAGCGTTCAAGATTGTCAACCGTGAGTGGGAATTCTCGCGGAAGCATGGCTTCCGCTGCCAGTTCCGCAACGGTGTCTTTCAGCTTCATTTTAGATACCGCCGTCAGTTCTATCGTCGTTGAGTTGCCGATGAAACCAGCTGCTCTTTCTGCACCTAGCATGTACTTGCAGCTGCTCTTTCTGCACCTAGCATGTACTTGTAGCTGCAGCATAAAATCCAACTGCAATAGCTATGCATAAAATGACGCTTTTCTCGTCCTCCTTTCCCCTGTCCCCACTTCACTTCTTCTTCTTCTCCATCCCCGTTTCAGTCAATCTCAGCAGCTCCGTGCGAATGCTGTGTGCATGTGTGCATGTAGATAGTCACCAACGAATGAAATAACTATTGAGAGCACCTTTTCCCAGGTTATCATGCCCATTCCGATCCTGTATATCTCCCTTGCTTTTACCTGCTTACACTCTCTTGTCATTTTCTACCTCACATATCGTCACCGGTCACAAAGTCGTTGGCATGAAACATTTTCCTGGCTTTTTCTCAATGTGTATGATGCAGTGTTGCTGGATGACGGTATGCATACCATGAGAACATGTTAGTACTATACTAGCAGAACATGCAGCTGCAGTTGAGCTCTTTGTACATGTATACGCGCGGTGCGTATGATGTGTGTGTGTGTGGGGGGGGGGGGGGGCATGTGCGTGTGGGTGTGTAATCCCCTCTTGCTGAAGCAGAGGTGTAAGCCCACTGATTCATGTCCTCAGAATTCCGCACGTTTTTGGGTTCGGAGTACAGGTGGAATCCTGGTAATTCGAACCTCCAAATGCCAGGAAAAAGCTTCTAATTATCCGGACATTCTAATTATCCAAACATGAACCCACAACACAATTATGTACAGTAGAGTCACGCGCCCAAGAACGTTGTTTCCAAGGGGTTAGCCTGGGACGTTCTTATTTTTTCAGCAATCTGGCTGCGTTCTTATAACACGTTCTTAGAAACAATGCGTACTGAATCATATGTATCCCACAAGCTCCCAGAAAAACAACACCGCCGTTCTTAACTTTAGGCTGTGGCATTCTTAGTATTTCAGGCTGGACGTTCTTGGGCTCCACGTTCTTCAGCGCGCGACTCTACTGTATGTCAAAATGCTCTCATGGTCATGCAGAGTTGCGCTATGGACCTTAGACTAGCCCTTGGCGGATTATGCCGGCATAATAATATTTGGCATAATCTTGGGATTTCGTCAAAAAATTATGCTCCGGCATAATATACGGATTCAAACGTGTAAGGTCGGCATAATCTTTCGGTTTAGACAAAAAATATGCTTTAATAGGGCATGGCCGTTAGCCCTTTCCCAAAGGTGCTCGCCCCTTTTTTCGCCCTTTTTGGAAAAGCCCGTTTCTTTCGCCCTTTATTGCGTTTTTTTTTGGTGAATATCACCCTTTTGAGCTTTTTTAGCTGAAAAAGTGCTAAAATCTGTTTGCTCATGCATCCGATCACAGTTTCCGAGTGCTCGATGGGCCTTGACACGCCCCTTTTTGGGGGGCAACAAGTAACTAGGTGTTGGCGGATAATGCCGGCATTATATCGAGCATTATACACCACCCGGAGCATTACGAGCGCTCGAGCATTATAAAGCATTACGAGGCCAAAAATGGCACTATACGACGTTCTACATGACTGCATAGTAAATATTATCCATATAAAAATCGCTCTGTGAGCGGTTCTGAAAAACCTTTACTGGTACTGCCCCATCGTAAAAGTAAGAAATTAGAACTGGCCCATTGTCCCCCCAAATGCGAACTGATCCACCTAAATCGCGAATGACGGGACCCGAACGCACCAGTAGCACGAGGTCGGGAGGGCACAGGATCACGGCAATTATCATAGGGTAACACCAGTAGTAGCAGTAGAATTTATTATTTTGATAGGGAAGCCTACCGCTAGTACAGTACATGGCCTATGGTCCGGACCAACGTCCCCATCTGCATCCACAGGTAGGAACCTCGTGCTACTGGTGCGTTCGGGTCCCGTCATTCGCGATTTAGGTGGATCAGTTCGCATTTGGGGGGACAATGGGCCAGTTCTAATTTCTTACTTTCACGATGGGGCAGTACCAGTAAAGGTTTTTCAGAACCGCTCACAGAGCGATTTTTATATGGATAATTTCAGCTCTTTTTCCGTTCCCTCCCCACCCCAACCCCGAAGGTAAACATGATGACCACACGCGCGATGTACTGTATGTAGCCATGCGACTGCAATAACACACTGATACATACCAGCCCTCCCCGCCTCGCTACCCCGCACACAGATACACAAACATGTGTATGCACACGGCACACACGTGGCCACGCACACATACGCACATGCACACGACACAAACAGGAAATTCTTCATGTATAATGCCATGCAAAGCAGTGGCCACCGTACTTGAGGAAGTCAGTTGTGAAACAAAAATAATTCAACTACAGCGTGTAGACAAGCTGACGGCCAAAGCACAACATAGCAAACATGACATTTGCCCAATGATTGCAGTTTGCAGACCATGCCATGGAAGCAGCGAATACAGAATGTAATATCATACAAAGTGACAAGCAAGGACGTGGCCATCATACACCAGAAACTTGCAGAAAGTCACATATCCAACAGATAGAGAAGTGAACAGCAATCTGATACAGCCCACACAGGACAAAGCGGACCTGATACTCGTCCCAGGATCGCAAGTGGCAAACCCTTTTCAATGCATAACATGCAGGTGTACGTTAGACGCATGAACATCTGACCGTGTCGCCAGCATACAATGTCATCACATGTTTACCCCACAAGTTACACACATGCACAGTAGAAGCACAATGAAAGCAATGGAAAAGTACGATGTGGTTGCTGAAGCATCTTCACACTTCAAATTCAGACTTCAATGTGGTCGTCACGGGATGATATACCTGCAAGATACAAGTGATGAAGAAAGAAAGCAGAAGGTCGTGAGGTAGGCTATGAGACACCACAAACGGTTCACCTACATGTCTGTTCAGGGCTAGTGCACTCACACGGAGAATTGTCATAATCGAGCATTTCCCAAACTGAGAAGTGCAATGAAATCCACTTGCATGCACAGGAGCAATTTTGCAATATTATGATGCGCAATTCGACACGATCTGCGATGCTGCGTGCGATGTGCCCTGCTGTCATGATAGTGACAGTCACCGCAGTATGTTTTGTCAACGTCGCCCGTGCACTCTTCTGTCAAGTCCAAAGTGCTCACATACTTGGCAATGTTTTTGCAGTGATTAACTTTTATCCTAGTGTCACGGGTAACTTTAATGAAGTACCCGCAGGCCGTGTCGATCTGCACATCGTCCACTCTCTCATGTACTTGGCCTGCTTTGTCTGTGTATCCATTTCATGTGCGATCCACAAAATCGACTAGACAGTGGGTGCAATACGCGCTCTACCTGAAGACGTTCTTCTGGCGACATCTCGCCATGTACTTGGCCTGGCTTTGTCTGTGTATCCATTTCATGTTCGATCAACAAAATCTCAATGCACTACAGAGACTAGACAGTGGGTGCAATACGCTCTCTATCTGAAGACGTGAACCATTAAGTTTTTTGGAAAAGTTATACGTACACCTGAAACGTAATGAAGTACAGGAATAGAGAGAGTGACTACAATACGCTCTCGACCTGATATAGTGATAACGTGAGTACAAGACACTCTCCACCTGATAACGTGTTAGAAGGTAACATGTCTACAGTCCCACCGTACCCTTCCGACACGACTGTAGACCATTAAATTTTTTTGAGAAGTTATACGTACACCTTAAACGTAATGAAGTACAGGAATAGAGAGAGTGACTACAATACGCTCTCGACCTGATAACGTGAGTACAAGACACTCTGCACCTGATAACGTGTTAGGCTGTGTTTACATGAGAAATTTCAACCCGGGTCGAGTTCAGCCCGGGTTGAAAGTCTGTACGATAGACAAAAGAGGTGAGTGTTTACATGAAGACAGTTGACCCGGATCAAATACTGATATGCCGCCAAAAGTCCACTTCTACAGTCCTGTACAGGGCCGGAGGAAGGAGTTTGGGAGTGGTCCGGCCAACCTTTGAGGGAGGTCCGGGGACCTCCCCCGGGAGAAATATTTAAATTTACGTGAAATAGAGCGAATTTGGGCGTCTCTTAATTAAGGTTCCAGAAAATGCAGAAAATGATAGTAAAAGAACACAAACACAACTTTTATTTAACCATAATTATGATTAAAGCCATACAGTGCCGGTCACGGAGTCCTGAGCTTCTTCGAAGCACATCACACGTCGGCAGTACAGTCGAGTCGTGTACCTCTGGACTTTTTACACCGGTTTTGCACGAATCACATGGACCCAGGGAGTCGTAAAATACCGGTATTTTACGACTCCCTGCATGGACCATCCAGCTGGGAAATTGGTCCGGCCATGGCCGGACCAGCCTGACCGGTTCTGCCGGCCCTGCTGTATGGTCACGTGAATCCGTTCGCGCGAAATTTGCATCTGCAGTGCCGTTCAAACCTGGCGCGAGATACGCACAGAAGTACGTTTGTACGATTTTCTTGACCCGGGTTGATTTCAACCCTCCCCTTGGGGGGAGGGTTGAAATCAACCCGGGGCGCAATTTCAACCCGGGTCAAGCGCAATGCGTCATGTGAACGCGCCATTCATTTTGTGCACATGGCGGGTTGAAATCTGACCCGGGTCGAACTGAACCCGGGTTGAAACGCTTCATGTAAACACAGCCTTTTAGGCCCTCTTCAGACTAGGTACAAAACAGCCTATAAGTCACATTTACATAGAAGTTTCCAGGACAACAACAAGAATCTGGCGGGAAGCCTAAAAAGCTGCCCAATCCTTTCAGGCAGGGTGCCAACCCTTGTACAAGGCAACTTTCCTGCATTTATCGTACTTTCACCAGGCAGTTGTACGAACTTTGTACCCGGGTACGACTGTCCGCTGCTTTCACACATCCCAGGCCCCTTGCGCAATTTCGTAGGGTCAAAGGTTGCCTGTGTATTGCATGTAAAATGTGTAGTCTGAATGCAGGCATGGAAAAATGTTGCCTTTTAGGTTTTATGTGATTTTGTACTGGATTTTCTATGTACGTAGTCTGATGAGGGCCTTAGTAGAAGCAAGAGTACATAACCCCCCCAGAGTGTGCAACGCCTGATCCAGTTCTGCATAGGGTCTTGGTCGAGCGGAATCGGATCTTTGCGTCATAATACCGTACACATCTGAGGGGAACCCGGGGAGTCGCGGGTACTCTTGGATCAAAAACAATGGTGCCCTGCCTCGAGACCGGCCTTGCGCTGGTGTGAAGTGTACGCATGACATCAGAAGATCCGATTCCGCTCGACCAAGACCCTACACAGAGCTGGATCGGCGTTGCACACTCTGGGGGGTTATGTACTCTTGGTAGAAGGTAACAGGTCTACAGTCCCACCGTACCCTTCATCATTCCTCATTCACCATCGCGCGATACCCTGGCACACACTGGCAACATTTAGAAAAGCGATCCTGTCAGCTTTTCTATTATTGTGTTCAAATGGCAAGAAAAACGACACCGCTATGCTACGTAAGTTTCTACGTA